TCCATGAAATCTTAAGTCTCTCTGTTGCTGTTGTTGCTATATTATATACAGCAACAGCCCTGTGCATGTCAGACAGAGCGGCATCGCGTTGAAACAACACGTGACCCCGTAGAAGCTGGCGCCATTTGAAAGGAGCTCTCTGTATTTATAATGTTTGTGCGGTGCTGACTCAGGTAATGCACGAGAAAAATTGTGCGCAAATATGCTTGTATACATGCCAAGAAATCATAAAAGTATCTACTAATGTTTACGAGCTAAACAATAGAGGCAAAATAGCCTAACTGCAATTTAAACACTTATATTTTTATAGTCTAAAAATGTTAAACTACAAGACGTAATTCTTAAACAAATAATAGTACAAATACATTTTCGCCTAAGTTGATTGCGCTTTTTTATTTTCCTTATTAAAAATCATGTGGTTTTGTTATTAGGCCACCCTGGCTCTAGCATCCTCATATATCTATACTAATATTATTTGAAGAGTTTGTTTAAACGCGCCATTCCGAGGAAACACTGGTTCGAATTGAAAAATCTGGATTGTGGTGGATAGGCCATTTATCGAAGAAGGTGTAAGGTAACAGTACACTGCAACCAAGGAAAAGTGGGAAATATAGAACAAAATATAGTCAAAAAAGATTCGTCTTTAAATGATCTAAAAATATGTCCGCGACAGTATGTCTATCTTTTGACATTAGCTTATCTATGATTAATAAAAGTTTGCAAAAAACAAATATTGACGCCCAAAATCGAATCGACATGGTCGCGGGCACAGCTAGTAAAATGTTAACGTATTTTTATTATTATATTACATATTACAAACATGGTAGAATTAACGTAACCACAACTGTAATAGTAAGATTTATTTAAAGGCATTAGGAGCAGCGAATTGCTGAAGCGCAGCGCTGATAAAAATGCAACTTTAACTACCTAAATTTGTCACTTGAAAACTTGAAACTGTACATGAACGGTGACCTATTTTGCTATGCTTAAACAGGTAACTACTTCAATTATTGCAGCTAACACCTTACCATTATTTTTCAATAAAAAATGTAATTTAAAAGTATTTTGGAATCGACAAATTATTTAAATAAAACACTTTATCGGTTTAAAAAGCTTTGCAGCAGCCGTCGTGGCGTCATCTCAAAAAAATTGTCAAAAATGTGGCCTACTTCCTTCTTTTGAATGGCAGGATCGATAATCCCAGAGTGTTGGAGCATGTGGTCTTTGGGTGTCAGAGCGCACTATAAGCTTCTCATCCGAAACGTCGGGCGGAGGAGCGGCGACGCACGCAGTTGGCTTACATGGCTCCAACACAAACTACTCGTATTGTTAAAATAATATTCCTAGCAGTAACTAAAATTTATTTAATGTAAATCCAGCGTCTTTCAAATCTAGATGCTTATATTTGTTAGATAAGATTCCTAGCTAATTTTCCCATACTGCATGTTTTGGCTCTTGCTAATGCTTTATGTATAAATAATAAATAAATAAAAATAAATAAATAAATAAATAAATAAATAAATAATCTCTATCCGAAACGTCGGGCCGTAGTTAAAATAATATTCAAATAAATTTAACTAATATATATCGCGTTTTAAACTGTTAAATTGTTATATTTAAATACTATGTTTTACTACTGTGTATATTTAAAGAAATAAAAGTATAATTCTTCAAGTCTCATTATTTTTATTCATGATAGATGTACATAATTTCATTTCAAAGTTACACAAAGGAATTTTAAAAGCACTTGCGTGCTTTGAAATAATGGGTTATAAGCCTCACGCGAGAAATTGATACAAGGGATTAGCTATAAAATTACTGCTTTTGCATTCAGTTGTAGAATTTTGATAATAAAATCGATACTGTCTAAACTTAACGCGAGTAGTACACATTAAAATAAAACACTTTAACGGTTTAAAACGAGATGTATTAGTTAAACTTATTTGAAAATGATTTTTACCTTTGGCCCGACGTTTCGGATGCTTTACAGCAGCCACGGGGAGACATTCGGATGTTTAGCACCCGCGTGTTCACGGCTGCTAAAAATATTTTTGAAATAAGTGTAACTAATATATTTCGCGTTTCAAACCGTTAAAGTGATTTAATTTAATTAAATACTTAACATTCGCTCCAACCACTAAGTAGACCAGACAATCCATGAATGTAAACCAGATAAATATTATCTAATGTAACAAGGAAGTGAAACTGTGTAAAACGAGGTGCCTCCCATTACCATAAACTTTCCCGCCAAAACAATGACGGCAAACATGTCACAGATTATATGAAAAATATGATTGATGGCGATACTGATAGCCGTTTAGTATCTGTCATTCGTGTTGGATACAGGCTCGGATCGCATGACTTTGAATTTATAATCTTTTGTTCTTTCTATGACGTTTTTATAGAGAAGTTTTCGCGTATCTTTTTTATATTTTTCAGTAATTGTTATGACATTATTTTTAATTTACTTTTATGAGGTATAAGGGACCTCCACAGACAATAATAAAAACTAGGTTTTTACTTTTATAGTCTATGGAATAATACCGTATTATTGATCCGTTATGCTCTATTTACGTGCGTGAGTAGGTGTTTTAATTTAACTTAAGAAAAAAATATCTAAAAAAAGGTATTTATTTTTTGCTAAGTATTTTTTTATATGCGATTTAAACATTTTGTAATTACTAATATTTTTATATTTATAACAAAGAACTGCTGAATGAGTTTGAATTTGAATGTTATATGCATTGTTTCGAGTTGCTTATAATTTTCATATTCTATATTTATTAAAAATTCTAACAGCTCTAATTAAAAACATATATAAAGCAGCTATAAAGTAACGGCCGAGATATAAATTGGCAACATTGAAAAAAGGTAAAAATAATTTAAAATGGCTAACATTGGATCATTTCAAATTGTTTTGATATTGGGCAAAAATAGTAGTAAAGAGATTGAAGATGGAGGGTGTCTCTGGTCCTCAACGGCTGTTGTAAAGCATTCGAATCGTAGGGCCGTAGTTAAAAATAATTTACGTAACATATACAATACATTTCGCGTTTTAAAACTTTTAAGTGTGTACTACTCGTGCAACATAAACAGTATTTAAATCATTGAATATCGGTCAATAATTTTTTTTGTTTATATTCCTGTAGTTTAGTAGATTTCAGTGTCCTGTCTGAACTTTATTTATTGTGTTTACTCAGGAACCCTCGCTCTTAATACCGCAACCACTGAACCACGGTTAACAAATTTACTACTTGGTATACTAGCAATTTTATAGCGAAATAACTCGACTTCGTAAATAAATCCACTACATTTCCCAACGGACTGCAGGATTTTTCCGTAATACCTTTTCTCTTGGAATACTTACTTGCATTAAATATTTAGGACACTATTCTCTGGACGATAAGGTTTTTACTAATCAGTATATCTAAAAGTGTGGTTTACCGATTATTTAAGTTTCGATATTGGTTTAAACTTAATATATATAAACAATCGTTTACACTACTTATAATCTATATTTTTCTATGAGTCTCACATATCTCATTTCAGCATATACAATAGGTATAACAATACAAGCTTAAATTAAAACACAATTACGTAACAACGTATGAATATTTTTTATTATGTATAAGTGCTTTATTTTTTATCTTATGTTTAGACATAAATTAGTTTAGGGTAAGTTAAAGCATTTTAAATAGGTATATAATTGTTGATCGGGGTTAATATTGGACAAACAGCATACAATTATTAGGTATATAAGTACGCTTAAGGTATAAAATTAATTAAAAGCCATCAATAATAATCGATCGATAAGAAAAACAGTATTGCACCTATAAGTAGGTATCATAGAATCGTTTTTAATTAATCTAAACGAAAAATAAGTAACGTAAAAACGTAAGGTTCGCGAAAATAAAAAGAAAAAAATTAAGCTGGTTTAAAAAAAATCAACACACAGATTTTTATTAAAACTCAAACTGACGACACAATGAATACTTACCACAAAATTATTTCGCGTTTCGGCATTACACTTCGCTTAAGATAAACTTTAAAAAAATCACACACTCACTGGATTCAATTACAATTTAATTAATGCATTATGAATCTACGGTGGCCCGACCCCGAAGATTTACCCGCGATAGTCCGCAGTTTGCAACGCTTAACAACTTTATATCGCATTTATAAGAAAATAGAATATCGATACACTATTTCTTATTCATGTTGTGGATATAAATAAAACGGAGATTTTTTTCAATCGGCTGTCCGAGTTTTATCGATTTATTTGAATAGAACCTCCTTGAACGTCAAACTCAGCCCGGGACGGGCGGTAACTGAGCTATTTGACAGCTCGCGTGCTGCCATCTAAATTATCGATGCGCAGTTGTCAAAATACAAGCCATTCTAATAATGGCGTGAGTTTAATTTTAATGTTCTGCGGACAGAGTCTATACTCTTAAAAGACATACAGCTGAATTTTGTAATTAAAACGACGCATATATGTAGAAGATCTCTTTAATTTCGTGATGTGACTGCTTATCACATTTTCCCAGTTTCGAATCTCGGATCGGGTGAAAAGTTACATTCGCTTATTGAAAGTTTGATTTATTAAAAAAAAACTACGGTATATAACCACTAAAAATACAAAACATCAATTTAGCGGTAGTCATAAAAGCGTAAAGCAGAAAAAGACTGACTTGACCAGCGATGGTCAATCAGATTAAAATGTAAATTTTTAACTGTGTCCTAAAGTACCCGTGCCTAACAGTGGGGCATCAGTATGCTAAAAGTAATATTTTCTAATAGAAACATACCTTTAGAACCAAAAAACATTAACATAATATAGGTATCTATTAAAGCAATGCGCTACGAATAATTGTAACACGAGGAGTAAATTAGACAGTAAAAAGCAATTTAAAAAATTAAATATATATTTGTTGAGGGTATTTAAGAAAACAATTGTGTTTATAAATTTTTATTTACTTTTTTAATATCTTCATCGCGTCTTACAGTCCTCCTTCCTAGAAAATTCATTATACAACTTGACCAATACGTAGATTTAACGTTGAAAGATAGTAGCTATATAAAATTGTAATAAATCGATGTTAACTACACCTACTAAGAAATAATAAACGGATACTTAGTTTCAAAGTGAATTTAAACAAGGTAACAACAGCTACTTTGGCGCCAGGCCATAAAATAAAAGAAAAAAAAATATGGCGCGAGAATTGACAACTTTATTAGTGGCCAGTATTTATTTTATTTTGTTTATGTCTTACTAGGTATAGAAAATGTTTTTACAGATATTTTTTACCAACACCATAAATTTTAGAAAAGCGTAATAATGCGGAAGTATTTTACAATGAAATATTGTATACTTTTACTTTTTTCACTTAAATTAAAAATACGGAGGTGGAAGAACAAATATATAATCATGATATTAAGTAATAAATTTGTATGTATTAATCGATACATGTATATATGATAATAATTATACCTATGCCCGATATGACAATAAATATTTTCTATAAAAGGTTAAAGAGCGAAAATTTTCCCATATCCTTATAATTACTATAATCAGGACACCTAGTGGTTTACCCAAATTAAAAACATTTACACAATAAAAAATATATTTTACAAACGCATACACACTTTCACAGATAAAATACACTAAAGTCTTTTAAGTATGGCAACATTATCATACCATATTTCTCCCATTGTCTCCTGCTATTCTGTCCACAATCTGAAAAAGAAAACAGTTTGAATGACATTCATATTATAATAAAAAAAGTAGTTTCTGTATATTTATGTGAAAATTATAGTAGAATTACCCCTCTTATAATTGGTAAGTTAAGCAGGGACCCGACAATTGGCACCATTCTCAGGAAATTCACAGCAGCTGGTAGGAACCCTCTGTAAAATAAAAATATAATTGTTTGTCTATAGCGTGACAGGTTAATGATAAAAATGAAAGTCCATCAAATATACTTTATAATGATGACAAACTAAGTAAAAAACAAGATACTGTTATCTCTTTATGACCCTTGTCTATGAGGAGCTTGGTGTTCATTTGATAGAAGTTAAAATAACCCAGCTATATAATATTTAAACAAGGTGCGATCTATGTTGACTTTGAAATTTTGGAAATCCACAAACTAAATTTGAATGGGATCGTGATTACCCATTAACAGCTTTTTCATCAGTGCATTTTGGTTTTTGTCCCAAATGGAATTTGGGATAATCCTACCACCCATTTCATATCCAGACTACCAGACAAAGTCTAACATGCTCCAGGAAACTTTCACAGAAACATATTGCACAAAGAGGGGATTGAACCCAGGATCGGTCAATTACAGTCAAGCACTCCACCTGTCTGGAAATCTTTATTGTTTCACAAGGACACAACCAACCATGACACTCATGACAGGGCTTAAAGAACTTGAGCTACAGGAACAGTCCAACAGGCAACTCTTACCTAAATAATAATAAAAATCCATATATCTCAGCTATCATGCCAAACATAGGCCATCCCAGTAACACAATAGTAATACCACCGAAGAATGCGACAGATGCTTTGATTTTATGCCTTTGGAAGAAGAAGAAAAATGTCCTTTGCAATCCAATCACACATGCTAGTCCACTTATAAAAAGAATCTGGAAAATACAATACAATAAACCTTTAACTTAGTTAATAAAATGCCTTTAAATAAAAATTGTCTGCAAACAGACACAGAAGTTTGTCTATCCAATGCTCTGTAGACTTAAATAAACTACAAATATAAGTAGACTTTAACATATGTACTTACATTTCCAATAGCTAACAATCCTTTATCAAATAATAATAATACTCCGAGGAAAAGAAATGTCATTCCAAAACCAGCAAGGCCCACACCAATTTCTAAAATATAAATATGAGTTTAACTTTTTACGTAAATATCAAAATAAGAAGGAAATAAATCCACCTAACAAATAAAAAGTGTTTAGTATATAATCCTCTAATATATTTGTTAGGCAATTTAGTGATTACAGTATTTATGAGACCATTTATAAGTTAATTCTTTTTAGTAATATAATCATTTAATAGTTATAAAACTTTGTAAATTGGACAAGTACTAAAACGCACAATGTAAAGCTTCAAATTGTGGGCGTAGTTTCTCGGAGAACTAATATAATTATTTGATTAATTTATTTTCGTCTCATAAAAGTGTATACACTGAGTAAAAACAACTTAGTTTGCATATTGGCTTAGTTAGGTTTATATGATTAAATCGAGGTCATTGACCAATAATTTGATTGCCTAATCAATTAAGACTACTTTTATTTCTATTAATGTCGATTTGCACATAATTTCATAGCTATTTCGTTGGTAAATCACTTTATTTCATTTTCTCATTGGTGTCAAACATAATAGTGAATAACGTTAAAAACTCACTCTGGGTATCAGATATCTCAATCATATTCGTAGCTTTGTCACTCCCTTTTATTATAATACAGTATTTACTTTTTATTTAACACAATTCATTTGTAAATACGACATAAAACAAACTTATAACCTACTACTCCACGTCATTGTTATCGAATTTTGAATATGTTTGACATATGATAAGATTTATAGACATGGATTTTACATGATTATAGTCAATTGTCAGCATGACAACTCAAATCGCTTCCTACTACCTATGGTAAACAAAAAAAAATGTTGTTGTTGTGTGTAAATTGTTCTTTGTGATATTATAAAAATCGATTTGCAATTCACCAATTTCGTTTTTAGCGATGTTGTCATATTAATATTTTTTTTTATTACCTACTGTTTATAAATTTATTAGCTAATTAGCTAAAAAATAAACAACAAAAATAGTAAATTCTTACATGGTTAACGCATAAATAATACAATTGCCGTGATTTCGATTCCCAACGGGTGCAACACATCTTTCTTTCTCATTCATCATTCTGCAAATCTTTGGTATTAAAGGCATCATATCAATATCGAAATTCTTTCTGGTTTTTTAACCACCGTTTACAGATGGAAAAGCCATATTTAAGTTTTAGTTAGTTATAACTTTTGCAAACTCGATTTAAATCAATTATTATTTTACATTCCTAATAATTTTCTAGTAAACATTGACTAGTACTGTTATGGTGGATTCAGTTATGAATCATTACTCCATTGCCTATTCCAACTTTTTGAATATTGCCTAGTCAGACTCTAGTCCGGAATTCGGAAGAAATGAAAAAGTTAGATAGATAGCATAAGTGTTTAGATTAGAAAAATAATAAATCAATGTTTTTGACTAAAAACAAAAAATAAAACGTATATTAGGCCTCGCACTTCATTTCTTAAGCTTTTATAAGTACGAGCGAGTTATCCAAACTCGAATAGTAGATTCGATTTACTTAAATAGAATCGAGTTTGCAAGTACGAATTGATTCTTCCAGACTCCAGAGCACATCACTAAACTTCTCTGTTTTGAGTTTTCGATCCGGCGTTTGTGTGTTCGTGATTTGTGTTTGCGAATGTGTTGCGGCGATTTCAGGGAATCTCCGCATTACAACTGTTAAAAACAGTTCAATCCGCTTTATTATCAAGTAGGAGCTTAAATATTTTTGTTTGTAGTGTATCACAAGCAGCGTTTATGCAAAGTGAAATTCAGTAAATGATGGTTCGTGGTGGCAGAGGCCGAGGTATGCCCGGAAGAGGTGGTATGGGGCGTCCGCCCTTCAACAGACCGCGGGTGTTGATGCTGAGACCTCCCTTCGACCTGATATTGGCGGAGCCTGCGTTCCCGAGGTGCAAACCGGCGCCCGATGACACCGCTTTGACACAGGTTATAATGTCAAAATGTTTGGTCTTTTGTAAAGCTTGTTTATCAATAAGTATAATTGAGGCTACTAGAGCCAGAGTGGCCTAATAACAAAAGCATGATTTTCAATAAGGAGGAAAGTCTATCTGTATCACTTGTGTGGTACATAATAATAGTTCTTTAATCATGTTCAAACTTGCGTCATACAGATATTAAGAAATACAATAAATTTAAAAACATAATGGAAATATGTTTAATTAATAAATTTCTAGACTCAATTTTACATCAAGTCGATTTGAGTGCTAACAATTAGTTAATATCTCAAAAACTTGGAATTTCCGCAAGTTGAAATTTTTAGGATTATTCTAATATTGGCAGGATCTATCAAGCATAAAATTTTCACCATTCAAATAAAATATATGTGAAGTAAAGATGGGCCATTTTCTATTTTATTCCTATTTATTCAAGTAACCTGTCCACACTTTTGCTCAGGTCCTTAAAATGGGAATGTTTAAGTACTCAAAGAAAGTTTGCACTATAAGATTAATTGAGGTGTTGCAAATATAAATAAAATGTTTTTTATGTACTAAACAATCATAATTTTGGAATTTCCATAACCACAAGTACTAATCGTAAGTTATGTTAATTATAGGCACTCCTCAAAAGGCATGCTGAGCTGTGCCCAACACCAGCGGAACAGGCTGCAGTACTCAGTTTAGTTACAAAACTACAGACTGTCCTTGATAACCTGGTTGTGGCTCCTGGAGATTTTGCTGCCTGTGTATGTATAGATTCTTTAAGACGGTTATACATCAATAATGCTTTTTCTTAGGACTTATTCTTGTTTATATCTATTGAAATTCAACCATCTCTATCACTCATTGGTTAAACATCTTGCATAAATATTAAATTTGAGAAATCTAGGTACAAATCTCAGCAAAGCAATTGTTTGGGTTTCATATGCTTATTCTTGGGTATGAAAATTTTCAACGGACAAACATACACAGATGGACAGTAGTTGTGTTCAGTTCTAGTTCTGTAAATTTTAAGCCCAAATCAGTAGATGGTGAATCCCAATTACAGGTGTTATATAATTGTGTGAAGCTTTCCTTATACAAATTACTTTCTTAAAAACTTTGATACATTTCATATTTTATTGTATGTTATGGTATTAAATATGAAGAAATATTATTTTTCAAAAATTAAATTCCAATTTGATCTTATATAATTTTAAGCTTTTAATAATCGGACATAGAACCGCAATACATACAAATTTTTACATCTAAATAGATCTTTAAATTCCTTTTAACTTCTTAAGTACATACATAACAATGTTTTTCAGCAACTAGAGGAGGTACGACAGGTTGGTTCTTACAAGAAAGGCACAATGATGGCCTGCAAAAATGTCGCTGACATTGTTGTCATAATGAAGACTTTACCCACCAAGGAGGCTGTGGAGGGGCTCTCCAATAAGGTTGGTAGATCTCGGGAAAATAGTGCATTAATTTCATACCGTCTATAGTTTACCCGAGAAGTACACATTTAAAAAAAACACCCTCCCCGTTTAAAACCCCAAACCCTTTTTTAAATTTTTTTTAAAATTAAATTCCCCCCCCCCCCCCCCCCCCCCCCCCCCCCCCCCCCCCCGGGGGGGGGGGGAGGGGGGGGGGGGGGGGGGCCCCCAACCCCAAAAAAAAACCCCCCACCCCCCCCCCCCCCCCCCCCCCCTGCGCCGGCCGGGGCCCCCCCGCCCCCCCCCCCCCCCCCCCCCCCCCCCCCCCCCCCCGCCCCTTGGGTTTTTGGGGGCCCTTTGTTTTTTCCCCCCGGTTTTTTTTTGGGGCCCCGGGGGGTTTTTGTTTTTTTCCCCCCCCCCCCTTCCCCCTTTTTTTTTTTTTTTCCCCCCCCCCCCCCCCCCCCCCAACATCCCCCCCCCCCCCCCCCTTTTTGGGGGGGTTTGGGGGGGTTTGTTTGGGCCCCCCCGGGGGGGGGGGCCCCCCCCCCCGCCCGCGGGCCCGCGGGGGTTTTTTTTCCCCCCTTTCCCCCCCCCCCCCCCCGGTTTTTTTTCCCCCCCTTGCCCCCCCCGGCGGGGCCCCCCCCCCCCCCCCCCCCCCCCCCCCCCCCCCCCCCCCCCCCCCCCTCCCCCCCCCCGGGGGGGGGGCCCCCCCCCCCCCCCCCCCCCCCCCCCCCCCCCTCCTCCCCCCCCCCCCGCCCCGGCCGCGCCCCCCCCCCCCCCCCCCCCCCCCCCCCCCCCCCCCCCCCCGGGGGCCCGGGGGGGGGGGGGGGGGGGGGGGCCGGCGCCGGGCCCCCCCCCCCGGGCCCCCCCCCCCCCCCCCCCCCCCCCCCCCCCCCCCCCCCCCCCCCCCCCCCCCCCCCCCCCCCCCCCCCCCCCCCCCCCCCCCCCCCCCCCCCCCCCCCCCCCCCCCCCCCCCCCCCCCCCCCCCCCCCCCCCCCCCCCCCCCCCCCCCCCCCCCCCCCCCCCCCCCCCCCCCCCCCCCCCCCCCCCCCCCCCCCCCCCCCCCCCCCCCCCCCCCCCCCCCCCCCCCCACCCCAACCCCCCCCCCCCCCCCCCCCCCCCGCCCCCCCCCCCCCCCCCCCCCCCCCCACCCCCCCCCCCCCCCCCCCCCCCCCCCCGCCCCCCCCCCCCCCAAAAAAAACACCCCCCCCCACCAAACCCCCCCCCCCCCCCCCCCCCCCCCCCCCCAACCCCCCCCCCCCCCCCCCCCCCCCCCCCCCCCCCCCCCCCCCCCCCCAAAAACGGGCCCCCCCCCCCCCCCCGCCCCCGGGCCCCCCCCCCCCCCCCCCCCCCCCCCCCCCCCCCCCCCCCCCCCAAAAAAACCCCCCCCCCCCCCCCCCACCCACCCCCCCCCCCCCCCCCCCCCCCCCCCCCCCCCCCCCCCCCCCCCCCCCCCCCCCCCCCCCCCCCCCCCCCCCCAACCCCCCCCCCCCCCCGCCCCCCCCCCCCCCCCCCCCCCCCCCCCCCCCCCCCCCCCCCCCCCCCCCCCCCCCCCCCCCCCCCCCCCCCCCCCCCCCCCCCCCCCCCCCCCCCCCCCCCCCCCCCCCCCCCCCCCCCCCCCCCCCCCCCCCCCCCCCCCCCCCCCCCCCCCCCCCCCCCCCCCCCCCCCCCCCCCCCCCCCCCCCCCCCCCCCCCCCCCCCCCCCCCCCCCCCCCCCCCCCGCCCGTTTTCCTTTCCCCCCCCCCCCCCCCCCCCCTTTTTCTTTTTTCCCCCCCCCCCCCCTCTTCCCCCCCTTTTCTTTTTTTTGTTTTTTTTGTTTGCATTAATTTCATCAAAGATAAAGTTTACCTCATTGTTGGTTGATACGAAATATTTATTAACATAGATTTGCGTAAAAGAAATTATTATTATTTGTTATTTTGTTTTCCCTTTCATTATACAAAGGTTGCCTGGAAGAAATCGCCATAGGCGTTAAGGCCCCATTCACTCACTATTAAATATTTATTTTACTTTTACTATATTTCATTTTTTTTATTTTAAGGCCGCATTGCACTAACACTTATGTAAATATTTATTTTACTTTTACTATATTTGCATTTTGTTTGTGCAATAAAGTGTTTTATTATTATTAAATAAAAGCAAGAAACTAGATTCAAATCCACAATCAACCTGCAGAGTTGTCTATGCCAAATGATTCGATGTATTATCTGCCGTAGCTGAAGCCCTTTGACATACTCATTGGTGTAATGCAATCTACGGCTAATGTTAAATGGGTCATGGGTTCGGTCTGTGGATTTGCAAATCGACAAAGCTAAAATAGGGCAAAAGCACATCTTGTTGAAATGTTATATGGCTGGGATATAACTTTTTGATATAGTCCCGCTGTACTAAAGAATGCTGTCTGTAGTTTACGCGAGAAGTACACATTGAAAACAGTTGAACGGTTCAAAACGCGATCGTTAGTTAAACGTCAGCCTCCCCGTGACCACGGCTGCTGCAAAGCGTCCGTAACGTCGGGCCGTAGTTAAAATAATTTCCAAATAAGTTTAACTAATACATATCGCGTTTCAAACCGTTAATGTTTTGTTTACATAAGGAATGCTTTCATGCTTCAGGTGAATGAAGAACTAAATAAGCTGATGCGAGCTGAAGGGCTGGGCAACGTGAGCAGTGCATGCCACGAGCGGGGATTCACCGTGACCGCGGCGAGCAGCGCCGTCAGGGTACTTGTCACTACCCTGCATCATAACTTGAGGAAGTTGGAGCCGGAGGTAGGTTATGGAGAGATTACATTTTCATACTCTAATTATTATAACTAGCTGTGCCAGCGACTCTTTCCGTGTAGATGTAGTTATTTTGGTCATCAAGATTGGTTCTTGCCAGAATTCCCTGAAATGAAATTACATGAAATACGACGGGACGCGGACGACGTCATGGGTGACGTCGTCAGCGTCCCGTTTCGTGACAATAGCTGTCACCCTCGACGTCGTCGGCGCCCCTCGTCCTTGCGAGTTAATCTTAAAAGTTAGGCGTATTGTCGCGGACATTTTACGTGTATTATCTTGTAAAAAGTCTATTGAGGCACAAAAACAGTCACACTACCTCAACATGTTATGTCTTTAATTTTCCAGGTCCACTTGGATTACAAGGTGATCAGCAGCCATTTAGCTGCGATCAGACATAGCCGTTGGTTCGAAGAGAATGCTCATCATTCTTCCATCAAGGTATATACAAACCCTTAATCAGTCAGACATTCAGTTTTAACGGTTAAAGCTTTTCTGTGAAGGCTAGGATTGTATTTATAACATATTGTAAATGATTTTAAAAGTCTAGCGTTTAAATGAAACACTGTAACGGTTTAAAACGCGATATATTAGTTAAACTTATTTGAAAATGATTTTTAACTTGTCTCCCCGTGACCACGGCTGCTGCAAAGCATCCGAAACGTCGGGCCGAAGTTAAAAATAATTTCCAAATAAGTTTACCTAACATATCGCGTTTTAAACCGTTAAAGTGTTTTCATTTAAATGTGTACTACTCGCGTAGATAGTATTTAAAGTAGTGTTTTAAGTAAAAGTGATTTTCTCTAGGTGTAAATCAAATGAACCTCTACATTTATGAATCAGACACTTTTATGTGTCTGTTTTACTGATCAGGTGTGTATAAATACTTGTATAAATGATCCCCTACCTGAGGAGAACTCTCATCGTTTTGTCGTTATTTGAACCCTCGACCAGACTCATGGTCGGAAAAACAACTGCTTTATGACTTTGAACTGTTTGATTTGACTGATGAAGAGGTACTTTATATTATTTTGTAGTAGAAATAAGGAACCCGAGAAAAAAATACTACATTTTTGAATTCCGTTGCATATTTGCTGAAATATATCAAACAAAACGCTATATAACGCTGCAAAGCGGCTAGTGACGTCACGGCCTTATATCGGCCATTGGTGTATGTCGATCATATGATCTACAATCTACATTTATACCAAACATTGACATTTTAACAGTGATTGAAGTAATAAAATGAATTACAAATTTATTTATTTGTTAACGCAGAGAATGGAATGTTTTAACACTAGGAAGCACGGTGGTCTATAGCACAGTTTATAGGCAAGTGACGTCACCGTAAATCCAACCAATCAGGTTACAAAACGTGACAAATATTTAAAAAGTTGTTTTTTTTAATCTATTATTATTTTTAACATACGTGACTGTTTTAGTCTTTCTCAACGTATACTCAATACCGATGACAGTACTTGACGCTATATTTTTCGCATTCACTTAAAGTTACATATACTGTCTATAGTTTACGAGAGTAGTACACATTTAAATAAAACACTTTAACGGTTTCAAACGCGATATATTAGTTAAACTTATTTGAAAATTATTTTTAACTTCCGCCCGACGTTTCGGATGCTTTGCAGCAGCCGTGGTCACGGGGAGACAAGTTAAAAATCATTTTCAAATAAGTTTAACTAATATATCGCGTTTTAAACCGTTAAAGTGTTTTATTTAAATTCACATTTTCTTTCTGTTTAGGTATTAATCCGCCTTTTGCGTGACATGTGCGCGCGTCACTCTGGCCTAGAACCCCTGACCCCTTGGATGATCGATCTTCTAGCACACCACTGCATCATGAACAATCCGGCGAGACAAGTGCTACCGATCAATGTGGCTTTCAGGTACTTCATATTCTATAGCCTGTGGGCTTACTTGAATAAATACTGTATTTTACGCGAATACACATTTAAATGAAACACTTTAACGGTTTCAAACGCGAAATATATTAGCTAAAATTAGTTTAACTGCGGCCCGACGTTTAAGATGCTTTGCCACCGCAGTCACGGGGAGGCTAGCTTGATTTCTAATTCTGCGAGGACCCGACCAGTTTCAACGAATACCAACTTCGAGGGGACAGATGGCGCTAGCGTAGCAGTTTTACCTTGACATTATAGATACCCTCCATCTACAGCCTCAACGTGACCACGGCTGCTGCCAAGCGTCCGAAAGTAGTCGACAATAGCTAAAATATTGTTTAAATAAGTTAAACTAATATATTTCGCGTCTTAAACCGTTTATTTAGAATATCACAGCGCATCTGCCTTAGATATTATATGGCTGGCTGGATACACTTACCCTCAGTGAACCATTATATCAAATCCCCTGTCATAAAAAGACTAGTTATTTATCGAATGGTATCGCCCTACAGCCGAAAAGTGATTACTTAGGAGTATCTATACTGTCTATAGTTTACGCGAGTAGTACACATTTAAATAAAACACTTTAACGGTTTAAAACGCGGTATATGTTAGTTGAACTATTGGAAACGATTTTTAACTTCGGCCCGACGTCCCCCCGTGACCACGGCTGCTGCAAAGCATCCGAAACGTCGGGCCGAAGTTAAAAATAATTTTCAAATAAGTTTAACTAACATATACCGCGTTTTAAACCGTTAAAGTGTTTTATTTAAATAGGAGTATCTGTGATTGAAAACTAAAATATTTTTCACTTGTTATTGCGTATGATGGCACTACATAAATTATAAATCGATTTTAAATTTTATCTATATACATGTAGGTCATTACACGGTAGCACAGTTGGTTAGAGTAACGGCACGGAATGCTGTTAAGTCTGCCCGTGTAACTTTTTTTTTTATGAATTTTGTGATGACGACGTCACTACAAAACTTGAATACCAAATATGGTGTGTTCAATAGTTTCTATAATATTTTTAAATAATGAATTGCAGGCGAGCTTTATCGTTGTTGGCGGGTGGGTTGTTCCTGCCAGGGTGCGCGGGTCTCCCGGATCCGTGTGAGGCGGCGCATGCGCGCGCGCATACCGCGCTGGATCTACCCGCGCAGGACCACGCCGCGGCTACAGCACAAACGTAAGTAAAGAATGTAATAACGAAAAATTCTATATAATAACGTCAGTTCCAAAATCATCACTTTTGGGATTGGCTATTCAATTGAATTGAATTGTATGTTTGACTAGCTGTGCCCGCGACTTCGTCGTCGTGGAGCAGTTATTTTGGCTATCATATTTACACAGCTTTATAAATTACTAGATGCCTAACCTGGCAAAGGTTCTTTTGATAAATATTTTCAATCTAAATTGGATTATCACAAAGACGTTTCTTGTGAGTTAATCTTAGAAGATAGACATATATTGCGCGGACATTTTTTAGATTAAAGACGAATCATATTTTCATACATATTATTGGGTATCTTAAGCCGTTTAAGCAGCGTACGCAACGGAACTTCTCAAAGATGAATAATTTTCCCAGTTTTTCCCACATTTTCCACTATTTCTTCGGTTCTATTGGTTCCAACGTGATATTTTTAAAGCCTTCCTCGATAAATGCTCTAACCAACACAAAAAGTTTTCAATTCGATCCAGTAGGTTCCTGTGATAAGCGCGTTCAAACTCGCCAGCTTTATAATATTAGTATAGATTATTTGTTTTAACACCAGCCTCCTCCGGGTGGTTGCCCGCGGCGGTCACCGCTACGTTTTGGGCCTGCAAGCCTTCGAGGGGGGCAAAGACATCTCGACCGAGATCACTGTCTGGGACGGAGTCGTGGTTTCCCCTCTGGCCCCGGCCTACAACGAGACACCAGAGCCCATGGACACAGACGAGAAAGGTATTTAGGTTATTAGGTCAGTGTGCTTTGCTTGCTTCTTTTGACATTCCATTAGGAAAATGGGGGGGGGAGATGCATATGTGGGTATCGGGGGATTTCAGAGTAACTGGGGAAAAATAAATTCTTAAAAACATTTCATACTAGCTGTGCCACCGATGTCGTCCGCGAAAATAACTATATTTTGAGCGTCGAAATTTGTTTTTGCAAACTCCTGCTAACTTTTTTGATTGAAAAGGGATCGTTCTTTCATACATATTTTTGCGGTTTCTTGAACCGTTTTCGCAGTGCAGGCAACGGAAACCCTAAAAAATTAATAGTTTTCCAAGTCTTAAATTCTTCGCTTTAACTGGTGGGCCGCTGCATGATGTTTTATAATCGAAAGCCTTCCTTTCAAGAAGAGATTAGCACTTAAAGCAAATAACCAAACAACCAAATTCTTCAGTTTTGTAATATAATATATTATATGATTGGTTAAATTGAGGGGGATGGGAGATGTGATGTGAAAACCAGGGAATTTCAAAATAACAGGATAAAGATAATTCCCCTAAAATTTTATATAAATAATGTCGAATATCGTGCACTATTGGTGTAACAATTCTCGACCTCACGAAGTCCCAACGCTGGGCCTAGACGGCAGCATATACACAAGACTTGTATATAACATAGCTTATCTTCGCTTACAGTCGGCTTTGTTTGCTGTCAAGTATAGCTTTATATATACATTTAAATTCTTAATAATTTTTACAGAGGACGAAGGACCGGACGGTGTGGCTGCTTAGACATAAGTTGTGTGTTTGTAAGATCTAAATAAACAAATTTATGGAATATAATATTTGTTTTTTATTCATCTCGTGTGTTTTATTTTGTATTTTGAGGTCGTGGGTTCAATCTCCACCAGGTCCAATTTGTTATTTAATCAATTGATAAATTTTCTGAAACATGATGTACTTCGTTTGGAAATTTTAATATCAAATGGGTGGTAGGTATATCGTCTTTGTTTTGTCTCGCCGTGACCACGGCTGCTGCAAAGCACCCGAAACGTCGGGCCGAAGTTAAAAGTCATTTTCAGTTAAACTAATATATCGCGTTTTAAACCGTTAAGGCGTTTTATTTGAAGGTATATCGTCGACAAACTATTCGGGTTACGATACATAGAAAATTCGATTTTAGTCTGGACCTCCAAATATCCAAAATTAAAATAGTATCTTATAATTCCATTATGTTTGTTGTACCCTAAACAAACTTACCTATATGTAACCTAGGTGACTTGGGAAACGTTATTTTGTCCATATGAAGGTATTTTGAATATTTCACGAAGAATAATTCCGTTATACAAATTCTAGGTTATCTTTAACCGTTTTCGCAACGGAAACCGCCAAAGACGATCAAGTTTCCCGTTATTTGCACGTTATAATCCATTTCTTCGTTCCTATTGCTCACAGCGTCAAGTTTTATAGCCTAAAGCCTTAAAACAATCTAACCTCCACAAAATAATTTTTCAATTCGAACCAGCACATAGCTCCTGTGATAATATTAGTATGGATTTGTCTTTCAAGGGACTAAGCCGAGGGTTCACATACACCGAATAAGACACCTTAACTCCCAACTTGACGAACTGCATTTCCCAATACACAATGTGGCCTCTAGAGCCAGAGTGGCCTAATAACAAAAACATGATTTTCAATAAGGAGGAAAATAAAAATGCGCAATTAACTTAAGCGACAATGAATTTGTAGAATTATTTGTGTAGGAATTATGCTAACAATTTTCTATGAAAATATAAATAAGTCATAAAATTGCAGTTAGGCTACTCTGCCCCTAGCAGCCTCATAATACGCTCGGTATTAAAACTGTTGATTTACATTACAATAATTTATTACCTCACCATTACAGAACCGAAAGGAAATCTCTTAGAAGCGTCAGTCTTCTGTTTTCTTGCCTTTTTCGAGAGAATATCGTTGCCCGGATACAAACCACACACTTTCGTCGTCACACTAAAACCTTTGAGCCTCGAATTAACACACACCGTTGGATTGGTGAAACACCTACAGTACGATGAAACGGACGTAACGGCTGAGCCCTTTTCGATGTAACTCGAGCGGACTCTTCCGTGAATGTCGATGTGTTGTATGGCGTTGAGAAATGTGCATTTTTTATATCTATCGCTGTCGAAGGGTGTGCTTCCGGCTGATGACATTTTTTCGGCTATTAACTGGTTTAATACATTTCCGAATTGCACTGGTAATTTCTGTTACGAATCTGTCAATGTTTACATTGAAATGTCATTTTGTTGATTTTACTTTGAACGTTGAATTCCGTAAAAAAAGTATGAATATATTGTTTTTGTAATATGTTTATAAAAAAAACGAAATCTCGTGCCACCCTCGTGGGGCGAACACATTTCCGTGTCCGTTGCACTGCTCCGTTCTTTTTAACAGGTACGTAGTTAACCTTCTGTGTCCTACCCGACCGAAACACCTTTTTTTGTGCTCCCCTGGGATTCGAATCTAGGACCTCTCGCGCGTAACGCAAAACTAGGCAATACGTGTATCTATTTGGCTACAGAGGCAGTCATATAAATGGTAATATCTCCCTTCTTCAAAGTAGTAACGACAATAAAAAAAGCAGCTTACCTGCATTGCAACAGCAGGTCTCTAGGAACAGAAGAGTTATAACGGTTCAAATTGCTAAATATATTTGTCCTCGTGGCCACGGCATGGAAGCATCCGATACGTCGGGCCGATAATACATCAATCATCGTTCTGTTTTAACCCGTTAAGGGCGTTTATATGTATACTATTAACAAGAGACAAGCCATACTTATAACGGTTGTTTAATCTATACTAATTTTATAAATGCGAAAGTAACTCTGTCTGTCTGTCCGGCTTTAATTCCGAAACTACTAAACTGATTTAAATGAAATTTGGTACACAGATATTTTAGAGCCTGGGAAAGGCTACTTTTAATGCCAAGTAAGGGTTGAAAAAGGGGATGAAAGTTTGTATGGAAATTCGTGGTTTTGGAAGCTAGAAATGAACAATAAAACTTGTGGCTTTTTGGAAATAGGAGTGAGAGTGGAAGTGAGTGTAGGAGTGATGTGAGGTGAGAGTGTTGCGGAAAAGTAGCACTTACAACGTAGATTGGCTTCCTTAAATGCGCCCTTACATAAATTAATAAACAGCCTAAATGATTAAAAAATTCTGCCCCAAGTCACTATTACACGCGGACGAAGTCGCGGACACAGCTAGTGTTAAATAAAAGACTAAATGTACAAATTAAGTTCTTTATCTCAAAAGATGTAACAATAATTTAGTTTTTACTGCATAAAGACAAAATAAACTTCAAGTGGCTATGGCTACACCGTTAACTAAACGTTACGTCAATAATCTCAAAAGAGGGTAGAATGTCGCTTCCACGATTCTTGAAACTTTGAAACAGATAAAAACGTTGGTCGATTTTCAAATGTGGAATATGGAAAACGGCATATAGATAATAAAATACACAAACCATAGACAATAACAGTCTCGAACAGACGTGCTCTATGGTATAAACTACCTACATAACTGATTCCGTTTTAACTACATACGTACGAAATATTATTTTAATTCGCGATATTATAAAATGTTTTTTAAGATGTAGAAAGTAATTTTTCCTGAGGGAAACTAAAATAATACTTCGTATTGTTATTTTTAATCTTTTAATAAAAAAAGGGACATAGGAAACATCTATAGATATGTTTGTACATCTGACGGTGTTAAGCGTATTAACGGGGCGTTAACTCCGTTGACAAACTAAAAGAACTTTTGTCCCGGCTGACGTTAGTTTTAGTTTGTCCAACAGAACTAAGTATTGTTGGCCGGAAAGTCTAGACGGTTAGTGCAAGGAGCCATCTGCAGGACAAATTAGGTACTACCTGTTAAAACATCGATAACTAAGTATAAATAACATTATCACCTAGGTAAAAGATAAAATGCTTTCGTAAAACTAATATCGAATAATACATTGTTAAAACGGTTTAGCGCAACCCTAGTTATATTTAAAATTGTCCCGTAGACGGCCCTGAAGTGACAATATAACACTTAAATCTAAAACAAAATGTTAGTGCGCGTGCGGCTAAGAAACGAAATCGTTGTCCATACAGGAATTCATAGACAAAGTCGGAGACTAGGCGTAGTTCTGATTGTCTTTGGTTAAACTGTAGAACGGAGACGAAATTAAGTAGACGGTAGTTTTGGATTATATAAATTAATCGTCTTTAAAGAAATCGAAATGAAAATCGTTAAGTAGACGCTAGTTAATAATACACAAATACTGTACATGGAAAAAAATATTATTTTCGACCTTATCTATCTACAAGCCAGTCATCTGGCTCACTCCTTTGTATGTACAAATATACACCTCTCTTACAAAAAATTTTGACTATTTTTAAATCTGCTCTTAATCTATGGAATAGGTCGTTAAAAAATATGGGCCTGTCAGTTATTTGAAATTCGGTTACCCAAAGGGTATCGAAAAGTTATTCGATCAGTTACGATAAACTCTTGCGCAGGATAGAAAAATTTGAAACGCAAGATTAGGCCTAACTCTTATCTAGCTAATCGCGAAAGCACACCGTTGTTCAGCAGTCTCAAAAAAGCACCGCGTTACCAATTCCTAAAACATATGACACGCGTTAACCTACATGCGAACCACGCAAAAATGCGTCCTACCCTCCTAATAACATTTTTATTAGGAGGTATGAACAGCCGAATTTATTCAAATTTTGGCACTTATAAGCTCAATTCAAATAGGCCATCTTTATCTTTTACATGTGAAATTCGTTTTAAAAATTCTCGACAGTTACAAAATTTTCAATTCCTATTAATTATTATAGGTTATAATTTGTAAAATTGACTTGTAATTTTTGCCAAGTGCCGCAGAACTGGCAGCTAATAAAAAAAACGAAATTTCGCGCGCAATTCGCGGATCACATTTGACAGATCATAACCGTCAATGACAACGTCACAATAAGACTTCGTTGATATTTCAACAGACTATAAATATCGATTTATCGATTCAGAGCGGTTAAACGGAATTGACGTTTTGGCTATAGAGCACAGACTATAATACAGTGTAATGTCACTATTCGTAATGACTCGACGTGAGGCTAGTTCGTGACGAATGGAGGGTAGAGCTGTGTTGCGGCATTGTTGAAGTAGGTGGCGGTAGTCGCGCGTTTGCCGCTAAGCGCTCTTGCTCTTCCAATTGTCCTGCAAACTCATCTTCCAGAGCCTGAAGTGGAGAAAGGGTTTTAGTAAACAAAATGAATCAAATTAATAAGATAGGTGAGTAAGAAATACTTCAAAATTTAGCATTTTATTCGAGAAATTTTTAGACAAAATTATTTGCCATAAGAAAGGAATATATATATTAGGTTGCTAGAGGCAAAGTGGCCTAATAAACATGATTTTTAATAGAAAGTAAAATAAAAGCGCGCAATTAACTTAGTCGAATATGAATTTGTACTATTATTTGTGTAAGAATTATGTTATAAATTTTCGGTCACTGTGCTCTAGTAGATAAATATTTTTAGCCTACGAAAATATAAATAAGTAAGTTAAAAATTGCAGTTAGGCTGCTCTGCCTCTAGCAGCTTCATATGATATTTTATAGTTATATTGTTGTTAAATATATTTTGCTAATAAATCTTGTAGAATCAACCGACATTCGAGTTGTAACCAAAACATATGTATGTCACAGTATTATTCTATACACGTCTCTTTCACTCCTATTCGAATAGGCGTTGCGTGAAAGAGACAAAGCGTTAATTTATTAAATGTAATAATAAAAGATAGACATACCATGCAATCCAGTAAGTTATCTCCATGCGATACTGGGAAATATCACAACACGTAACATGCAGATTATGTACAGATTCTGACGTTGAGATAGTCAAGTTAACGATTACATAACGATAACGAAGTTCGAAAAGTGAGTAACGCGTTACAATACAGCGGTCGAAGCCGCTCGTTAAAAAATAGCAAAACTTATTCTCTATTAAAAATAAACTGTAGTGTGAACGATTAGTACACATGTGAGCAAACACTTTGAACGGTTTATAACGCGAAACATTCTTCAACTGCAGCTGCAAAGCATACGTTGTGTCGTAAATGGAAGTTAATTATATTTTGCGGTTCAAACAGGCGTTTTAACGGTTTAAAACGCGATACACATTCGTTAAACTTATTTGAAAATAATTTTAACTACGGCCCGACGTTTCGAATGCTTTGCAATAGCTGTACGGGGAGACATAATTCACAAATAAGTTGAACTAATATATATTGCGTTTCATACCGTTAAAGTGTACTACTCGCGCAAACTAAAGGTGTTTTTTTTAAATATAATCTCGCAAACCATCCTTATACATAATTATAGCTAAATGGTCTATCAACCTTAGTTTTTATTATCGAACTTCCTTATCGTTTCGTTAATGTCTGAATTGTTAATTTTCGAAGCCAAGTTTAATTTTACATAATCAAGCGTCGTCATTTTAAAATAGCACTCTTAATAATAAAAAAATATAGGCGTATCATAAACCTAGTACAACATTTTAAAAAAAATTCTACATAGGACCACCACCGATATTTTATGTAAAAGTTGTATACTCAAGTATTTAGTAGTACATTTGTAGTAGAAAAAAAAATCTTTATATTATGTACCTCGTACCTTAAATTAAAACAATAAAAACATAATTAAAAACGTAACATCTTTATTTACATACATTTGGTTAATTTAATAGGACTAAGCGACTTTGGTCCTTACATCGATGTTAGAAAGAGACAACTATATAAATAATTTGAACACGATAATTACTTCAGGTAAGAAAATTCCAAACCCTTCACAAAAATGATAATTTAATAAATTTTAAGTCATTAATAAACTTTTTAATTTACTTAAAATAATTTCCAATATTTTTTACATTGACCAACAACCAATATGCGGATTGGTTTCGAATAATAATTGTGACAATCAAACACAACATGCTAAACATTAATTTTAACATACCCTAAGACAAGCTTAAAACGATAAAAAACTGGAAAATGATTTTTATTTTTAATACTACAATAGTTAACTAATCTAGTATGTAAATCATACAGATAGAGACGAAACATATCGTGCTGTCTCGCTTGTATGGAGGCATTATAAGTAGAGGCATGGATCTTTAGCGCTGAACGAATCGTGCGAAGCCAAAAATAAGGTATCGAAGGGAAGCGGGCGCGGGGCGAATGAACGTCATGTGCGCTAGCGTCGATTGGTTCCCCAGTCGTGTTGTCTTTCTCGGACCAATACGACGCCCCGCTTGCTTCTCGAGTACAGTCACGTTTTCTATTCGATATTTGTCCAGCGCTAAACATACTATTCCTCTCTTTCTAACTGCTGTTGTTAGCATATGTTACGAGACAGCACGATCTCTGACAATAGGAAGCATGGTTAGTAAGGCATTCAATGAAAAATGTTAGTACTTAACAATATAATACTTTTAAAATTCTTAGGTTTAGGTCTACATTGCATTAAAATAGTACAGTGAAACCTGGTTAATTGGGACCTATAGTGATCGACATGTAATTTCCAATAATCCAGTTTTCCAATTAAGCATTAGTTTGTTTGTAAACACACATATCATAACTTTAAATCCTGGTTAATTTGTCTTCCTTACTTAGGTAATTGAGCTACAAAGACTCAATTATAGAGGTAAGCGTTGAAAGTCTTAGTTACTTTTGTTTTCTCTCTCTCTCTCTCTCTCACCAGGTCCAAAAATTTCCCTTAACAAAGGCAATTTTATGAAACAGAACCGAACTCTCTAGAGGTATCTCGTTCATCCAGGTGTCACTGTTAGTAATAGTGCAACATAGATCAGTATACATTTAAATAAAACACTTTAACGGTTTAAAACGCGATATATATTAGTAAAACTTGTTTGAAAATTTTTTAAGTACAACCCGACGGGAAGACAGTCTCCCCGTGACCACGGCTGCTGCATAGCATGGTAAACGTCGGGCCGTAGTTAAAATAATTTTCAAACAAGCTTAACTAATATACTTATATCGTGTTTTAAACCGTTTAAGTGTTATATTTAAATGTATCAGACTTTGTCGGCCATTTTGCGATGCCACTTGGGTTTTTGAAATTGAATCTTTGCTCAACATCTGAAGGTGCTGATGACCGATGTTTGGCCCAGGCAGCATTCCAATCTTGTTATATTAAATTTAACATAAGTGGTTTAATAATAGCAACATTTCGTTTTAATCACAAGCCGCAGACAACATTAGCAGCTAGTGTCAAAATTGTAAATAATAAGTTTTGACATTTGACATTGACATTTCGATTGCGTAAAATTTAGTCAATATTTTTGGCTTAGTCCGAGAGGTTAACGCGAATAATAGTTTGTATCACGCCTTACAGGATAAATACTAAGTGTATGGCTATCTCTTTCACTCACTCCTGTCAATTTTTAAAAACAATACAAAAGTAAAAACTGGTCTCGTATGATTTAGTAAGATCTAGGACAAAATGGGTTTTAGCATTGGTGGAAGGAGTGAAGTAATACATATAATTATGATGCGCCTGCTTTGAACACCGCGATTATTATTAGCAATATAATTATTCACAATTAATATTAAACACGGCAATTACAATTTTAAAACACACTGGTCTGTTCATTAAATATATTTGGAATGTATTTATGGAAGCATTTGACATTTGTCCAATTGATTTTGTCGTTTTTCCTCATTGTTATATTAATCAGTCTGTAGACTGATTAAAATAGATAAAACACAGGGTCTGTTTGGCACAGTAGGACAATTAAGAAAGAGGGTTGATTCCTATTTTAAATTTATTGCATTCCTTAGCGCTCCAGACAGAGTCCAGGTGAAACCGAAAAGTCACAATTCTGGCACTAAGCAGTCTATCAATTTTCAAAGCACTTATTCTCCTTATATGGTCACATCGAAATCTTGGGAGTATTTCGTAACAATAATTGACACTAATCTACTAAAGTTACCGTGTTAATCGGTTTCAAACGCGAAATGTAGGTCCATTAATATTTAACTGTGATGGAAAGGACTCTCAAACGTTGGCTCCTAGTTTAAAACGAATAAATCGCGTTTTATTCCAAGTGTAGTATTATATTTTGGTAATTGATTTCGTTCATGAAATTCTAATACACATTTTTGTTATTAAACACGACGATTATAAGTCTCTTAAAAGGAAGGCCGGATGTATCTTTGAGCAAATGTTTTCATGTAAAAAAGCTACACGGACTGACACGGAAGGGAATCAAATCCAAGACAAGTTTCGTATAAATTGGAATGAAACATACTTTTGTTCTCTGGTATGGAATTATATGTTTGTGTGACTCATGAATCTTAACTTGACATTATTAAAAATGTTTCATTTTTCAAACCGACATACCAAAGTACTTTGTACATTTCTAATGTACTTAAGAACGTCTAAAAACATGACTGCTGAATATTTAAAACGCATATAAAAATCTTGACAACGCACACTGCATAAATATTCTACGATCAAAAATGCAGTTTGGTAACAGGATATGCTCACCCCCCATAGTAACCCGCGCCACAAACAGACAAATGATTGATAATGCTATTTTAAGCGATATATTTACCTAAAACTTTTATTTTTTTATAAAATAATAGTATTTATATAAAACACGATATATATTAGTTAAACTTATTTAAAATTTATTAGACACGTGGTCTCCCCGCGACCACGGGTCCGACGCAAAGAATCCGAAACGTCGGGCCTTAGCTAATATAAGTTTAACTAAAAAATATCGCGTTTCCTCGCTACTCGGGTAAACTACAGACAGTAAAAAGTATTACTAGTCCTTTGTCCGTTCGTGGCCTGAAATGGACAGTCCCTTTTAAGCAATAGAATCCGGGGGACTCTTTCCCTTGTTCACTTGCGTCTTCAAATTCAACGTGGAAAGTTGACTGACTGGAACACTTGGCGCGTTGGCGTAACTGTTGGAACCTCTGACCGGTCCCCATCTACTGAAGTGCTCTTCATCTTCATTGCTCTTCGAGCTGATACTGTCATCGCTTTTATCCCTCCCCTCTAGCGACGGCATATCTATCACCACCGCTTCCATGCTGATATCCTGCTTCAGGCTCTGCTGGGATATGCTACGCTTCATCGTGGTTTCGTTCACCTGCTTGAACAGCTGTTCGCTAAGGCTTTGCCTGTTCAACTTCTTCTTATCCAGGGGTTTCGAGCGTTCCAGCTTTTTGGGTTCCTCCTCAATCTCCCTGGGTATATCATCGTAAGCCATAATCGGGTGTCGCTTGAAGTCATCGTTGTTGTTGAATACGGAGAATCCAGAGATCTTCTCGGAGACCAGCTTGAGGTTGGATGTGGATCCGAACTTCTGTGCCTTTGTCAATTTCCCCCGTTTAGCCGTGTTGGTGGCGCTGGAAGCCGCCGACTTCGTTAAGCGATTCGGGCTGGAACTTCTACGTTCCATGTTCGGAGTATTGGCGGTGGATAGAGCCAGGTTCAAGCTGGTTCTGGACCTCGACAGGGAACCCATAAAGGAGTTCCGCTGATGGTAGGTGGATAGGACGTGTTGGAGCACGTTCTTCGGCCACGGTACGTCTAGATACGAGTCCCGGTCCGGTATCGGGATGCCGAACTTTTTCTCGTGATCGTCGAGGTGCTTTTCGAAGGCCTCAATCAGTTTCTGGTTGGACAAATTGTACGGTTATTGCGCAGCGTTGTGTGTGGACGGCACAGACATACATACGTTGAAATTTGTTGTTTATACTGTTGTTAATAGATCAACTGCCAAGTGGACACCACCGATATCAGTACATAAAAAATATATATATTTTGGTGGCTTCACTTTCTCGCGATATGTCAAACCCGGGCGTGCGTGTGCGCATTTATAGTTGGAGTATGTTTTTTTTTCATAATAGAGAAGGACAGACAATCTAGGGATTCACTTGATGGTAAATGAAATACACCAGCCATTTAACATCTAAACAAGATGCACCGTCGACCTACATTGGATTTGATATTAGGATATCCACAGACTAACTCTGAAAGGCGATTAAACTTGGCGCTTTTCCAACTGTGGACGGTGTTTCGTGATCCGGACGGAATGTCGATATCCAGATTTCCAAAGTCCAACATGCTTCAAATATTATACATGAATTAGAAATTTATTGGACTCGGCGGGTGATTATTATGAGCCATGCATTGCCACCATCTTTCGGAAACTTCGTCTAACAAAAGGTGTCCACTATCTAGTTGTTTATTAACGTTGCAATAGTTAACAGAATTTCAACGTATTTTTCACACCTCCCATAACTCCCATTCTCAATTTGGACAAACACAGTTTCCGGTGCCGAATCTGAAATTTCGCTGTTCTCATGCTAAAATGGTGTTACGTTAATAAGCCCATCACCACAAGCACACATGCGGACATGCGAAAGTTACACTATGCGTCGCAAAAAAAATTGTATCACAGATCAACTTTTAAATTCTTCTACCTTGAAATGCTAGTGGGTAAGGATCTGGTATAAGGGGGAAAGAGGCATGGAGGTCTCTCAACAATCAGGGCATATACAAGTATCACCCAATATTAATTATATTTTTACGCAACGTGGACGCCAAAGGGGGGGGGGGGGGGTATCATTGGTTAATTACTAAGTTATAATTGATTCGTAATCGAAGAAAGAAAAATTATTTAATTACTAAAATAGCTATTTAAAATAGAGGTTGGCGAACTTTGGGTTGCATGTATTTTTAATGCCACATTATTAAAAACAAACGAATTTGTCAAAAACAAATAAAGTTAAGAGTGAACAACCCTTATCACTTAGAGGGTATGGAAAGTGAATGACACGATAATTATATGAATTAGATGACAAATACGATAAAGTAACACTGGCAAGAATTTTTTTTGCGACGTATATTGTAACTTGACACTTAGCATTCACATGGCAGTCATGCTTATGTACAAATACTTAATAAAATGGAATCACATTCGTCCGTTTGTATAAAACACCTGTACAGATTAAAAATGACTAACCATCATATTTTACATAGGAATAATTTATTACCAATTTGTGGTCTCTGTAAATCGTGGCCTAAAGACATACCTGCTTCCTATCGCCGAGGGTCGCGCGCCACTCCTTCAACTCCTGCGCATACCTCTCCTCGATCGTCTTCATCTTGTTGCTCTCGTGGTTCATGAGGGCCTTCCTCTTCTCGTTTTGGTACTGCTCCAGTTCGCGGAGTAGTGCCTGGTGGTTTATATACATTATTATGAACGGAACAAATTCATTGAATAGTTTTGCTCGAACGATGAAAGGTCTTAGGCTCGAATTGGAAATTAGTTTTGATTTATATCATAAAAAACATGATAGTTATAAAACAATACTACGAACACATGGTCTGTATTTTGAGCCCGTTACAAGTTTTAGTAGAACAATTTTTTGGAGGGTCCGATGGATTAACGGTAGATATTTATGGCTTATATGTGTGGACTTCTCCCTTTCGGACAGCGTGTCTTTTTAGATCTCATATGGCTGAGGCATTTCCCCTTCCATCAAACGTCCCCCCCCCATTTCTCATTGTCCGTCCTCAGCTATATTAAAAAATAATGTTAAATTACCTCTCCGGCGGCTTTAAGCTCCTCCCTCGCCTTAGCGTGTTTGGTCGCGAGCCGCTGTTGTTCCGCGCGATAGCGTCGCTTCTCGTTCTCTTGGAACTAGAAACAAATGATTTTATATACTTAATTATAATAATTAGCTTAACCCTTACAGGACCATAAGATGGCGGAAACTAAATAATATTTTGGTATTTTGTGGTTAAAGTAGGAGAATATTACTAATGTTACCCTTATTATTGTAAATCTTTATCTTCGAGGTTGCCTGGAAGAAATTACTTTTTAGCGACAAGACCGTCGTTTCTCGCTGCTTTTTTTGTAATTTCCACAAATCAAATCTTCACGTGGCGACAATAAAGTATTTGTTGTTTGTTTGCATGTTTTGTTCAACTCGACTCGACTATCAACATTCTTTATCAATCCATAAACTAAAATTAAATTACTATTTGATGCCATTTAATCGCGTTTAGGTTTCAGTCTGTAGATTTCCGAATGTCCAAAGCCAAAATAGCCTTCTCATCAAGTGAACGCCACGCTCGTATGTCCTCCTGTATCATAAAAAAAACCAACTACCTTCTTGAGCCTCTCCCGTTCGTCGTCGTGGCTGTGCGGTGCAGCGCCGATCCTCAGCGACTCGCGGAACATCATCTCTCTCGCCTTCTGTTCCGCTCGTATCCGTTTTGGAAGCGATCTCTTCTCCAACGCTTGGCATTTCGCCAACTCCTCCTCTTTTCGTTGGTTTTTCCTTAAAAAATAATAATAATCCTTTAAGTACACTATCGTAATAAGTAGATATATACAGACAGGCGTAATGGGTAAGCATATTTATACTAATATATAAAGCTTGATTGTTTGTTTGAATGTGCTACTCTCCGGAACTACTGGTTCGGATTGCAATAATATTTTTGTGTGGGTTAGAGCATTCATCGAGGAAGACTGTAGGCTATAAAACATCAGGCTGCGACCGATGGGAGCAAAAAACATTGGGAAATGTGGAAAAAACGGGGAGAATATATTCATCTTTGATTCATCGTTGCGTGCGCTACGAAAACGATTCACGATATCCAATAAATATGTATGAAAAAATTATTCTTCCTTAAATTATATGTATAAAGCTAAGGAGGTTGTTCACAAAAATAAATAATATGATTGCCAAAGTACATGCTCCACGCGGATGTTTCTTGGGCACGATTAAATTCATTATCTGGATTGAAAAAAAAAAAAACGTAAAATAATCTCTAACCTTTAGAAACTGCATCTCTCAGGCAATTTTATTATATAAATACGACTTCGTCCACGTAGAATAGATATTTTGGGCATCAAAATTTGTTAAATAATTAACCAGTACTTCCCGAGATTAGTGCGCTCAAACAAACAATCAAGAAACTCTTCAGCTCAATATAGTAGTATAGATCATCATCGCGCAAGTGACAAATACGAATCGTTTAACATCCCACCTCTTAATCTGCTCCAGCTCTTTGTCGTGCCGGACCAGCATTTGATGTCTGCGCAGGAGGAACTCGTCCTTCAGCTGCCGCTTCGCCAGCTGATGCCGTTCGTGTATCTGCTTCTCTTCCAGTTCCCACAATGCCGCTTCGCGGGTCCGCATTATCTGTTGACACAATGAATATTAACTACAACCACTTCTGCCAATGTCAGATACCTTGTGTCAATGTCAAATGACCGTTTTGTATCTTAGAATGTAACTAAAATATTACGCATTTTAAACGGTTAATGCGGTTTATTTAAAATGTAATTTGCTGTGGAAGCGCAAAAGAAAGTTGAGTGGAAGAATACTGTGGAGGCTTATACGTATAATATGAAGAACCTGACATTATAAATCACTTTCAAGTTAATATAAATTGTTAAAAATTGTACAACACCGCTTAAAAAAAAGAAAAAACAAATTAAAAGGAGAAGAGTAATTTTTAAGTAGTGGCCTGAAAGATATTGCTTGAACTTAGAGGCAAGTTAAATAGTAAAATATTCTTTACACCTAACTCTAGCACGCTATTTACATAATTATTATACAATTGAGTAACACCAACTTGGTATATATATAATATACAAAATTGTCAATCTCAAGAGGTAAAACCGCATTACCTGCTGCCGCTGCTGCAAATGCTGTCTATCAGCGAGCGCCTGCCTCTCACGGTGTGTGGCGTGAACCCGCCGCAACACCGCGTCGCCGCTCTCCGCTAAAGACGCTACAAACGCTCGTTCGCGCGCCGCGTGCTCCGCGTCGAGCCGCGTTCGCCGCTGCCTGTACGCTTCTTTGCGCCGATCTTTCGCTACCAACTCCACTTCCTGTAACATTAGGATTATGAAAAGTTACTGAATAGCATTGAGGCCATTATTTTGATAAGATTTGTCTAAATTCCCATTTCAAACAATTTAAGACTTTAAGTTATAAACTTAGAAAAAAACATTTGTTAATCATTTGCTTGTAAATGTAAAAATAACGAGGCTGACTCAAAAAACTTGTGAAATACCGTAGGTTTTAAACACAATGGTTAATCAGACGTCTGTGCCCTGCCCGACTCAGAAAATAATCGGTTTATTTCTCCGGTATGTAAACCGGGGAAACCGATTCTCTCCGACCGAGATCTCTCATGTTTAATGCACTGCTAGGCAACGCGTTCAACCATTCGGCTACGGAGGCGGTGAATTGAAATAATATTAGCATTCTTATTTTTCACTAGCTGTACCCACGACTTAACTTGCGTAGAATGGTTCCTACATATTTTTTGGGTTTCTTGAACCACTTCCGCAGCATCCTAACGGAAGTGCTAAAAGAAGAATAATTTTCTACTGTTCTTTCGCTACTATTGGTCGAAGTGTGATGTTTAATAGTCTATAACCATCCTCGATAAATGGTCTAACCAAATAATGTTTCTATTCGAAACAGTAACTTTGTTTCACTCACCTGTTTGAGCAGCCTCAACTCTTGCTTAAGAGTGTCTCTGAAGTGCCTCAGGTCTCTCTCGTGATCGGTCCTCAGCCTTTTCGCCTGCGCGCGCAGCTCAGCTTCGAGTTGCTGCTCGGCACGTTCGGCTGCAGCCCTTTGTGCCCGCGCCAACGTGTCCAGGTCGGCTTCGTGCGCGCGACATAGTGACGCTAGTTCGGCTTCAAATCTGTAAATTTCACGGCTTACGTTAGGTGGGCAGCGACATTTTTTAAAGGTCAACAGAGCTTAGCTATAATTACTACAGACATAACTTAAATAGTATAATACAAAGGAAACATAAAAAAACGCTTGTAAATATGAAAACACAACGTCAATAATAAGATCTAATATAAATATAATTAAAGACAGTTAAGCATCCCGCACTCTGCGCAAAGTTACTGCCATTATACAAATACTATTTTAAAATAAAAAAATATAAACGCATATTTAAAAAACAATATTCAACTTATTTACAAATTATTAAGACTACGGCCCGCCGTTTGGGATGCTTTGCAGCAGCCGTGGTCAAGGTGAGGCTAAAGATTGAGCTGTCGCCCCCCCTTTTTCGAACTGGAGCTCTTGTACTTTTATTTTAACTCTGCTCTATGAACAATTTGTTTTAGATAAAAAAAGTTATTGACAACTCGTTAATAAAACAAAATACTTCAAACGTTCAAAAACGCGAAATATTAAACTTATTTACAAATTATTTAAACTACGGCTCGACGTTTCGGATGCTTTAATAATAATAATAATAATTTATTTGTCAGACCATAGATCCATACAAACAGTGCTTTGCAGGCACGTAGTTGAAATAATTTTCAAATGAGTTTAACGAATTTATTCGCGTTTCAAACCGTTAAAGTGTTCTATTCCAATGTGCACTACTCGCGTATACTACATATATATTTGTATACTTAGTAATAAGCCCTATGTTTTATGGTGGTAAGTAAATTTCTTTCTGCTTCTTACGTAGTAGTTAATATAGATGTAAATATTACCTCTTATCCTGCTGTTCTCTGAGCTGCTGCTCCTTCGCGTTCAGGTCTTGGAACTGCTTCTGCTCCTGTTTCTGGAGCATCTTGATCTCTCGCAACTCTTGCTTCCTTAGTGCGTGGTCGTCCCACGTCCTGCCGCTCTCTTCGTCACCCCATATAACCTGGTGTTTAAAGATAAACTTACTAGCTGAGCTGGCACCTTTTTTTTATATATTTCAATTAAATTTGTTTACGTAAAAACGGTGTAAGTTAATCTTAAAGATAAACATACTGTCGCGGACATTTTTTATAGTACTTAACTAGCGACCCGCCCCGGCTTCGCTTAGGTGCAGTGCTGATACTAAACACACTACAAAAAGACTGAACGTTGTATATAAAAAACGTTCCTCTTGAATCACTCTATCTATTTAAAAAAAACGCATCGGTTCGTAGTTTTAAAGATTTAAGCGCACATAGGGACAGAAAGAGCTCTGTTTTACACTATGTAGTGGAGAAGAATAATTTTATCATACATAATCTTTGGGTGTCTTGAACAGAATTCCTCAAAGAGAAGAAATAGGAGAGACAATAACTTTCCCCATTCTTCCACATTTCCCCCTGTTCCTGTTGGTTGCAGCTTGATGTTTTATATTACGTTATAAAGGGTCACACCAACACATAAAGGATTTTCGGCCTTAAAGACTCACATCATACAAATGACATTTAAGATTTTTCGTTTCTTTTTCGATGCTTAGCGGACTGTTCGACCAGGGTTTAGACCAAACCCCCAAAATACCGTCAAGATGGCTGCTGTTTTCATATGAACACATATTGTAACTTCAAACAGTCGCGAAAGATCTTAGCAGAACCTTACCTAAGACTCAATTTGGGTCAACGGACCAAGTAAGTATTTTAATACCTTGTGTGTAGTAGTTGTGACGACGACGCCGTCGATCTCGAACTTTCTCGTGCGCTTGCGCGTCTTCTTTTTCAGATTTGCCATGTGGATGTCTTCTTTCGATCTGTCAATGAAATTGATAATTTAAAACCAAGATATTAGTGTTCGGTCGTTACGACATATCAGTTTTTTAATCGACAAGCTAGTTGATTTTTATCAACATATATTCAGAATATAGATATACAACATTTATTATTATATATATTTACGTATCTACATATTTGCATATAGTACCTCTGTATCCTATTAACGTTTTCTTGAGGTTTCCTCCTAAGAACAACTTCCGCTTCACCATTCTCTTCTATGCTCTGATTGTCCTTGTTTACCCTGGATGAAAAAAAAAAAAAATTACGACATCCCTCCAATCTTATATTAACTTATTTCAAATGAATTTTAATTACCACCCGACGTTTCAGATGCCAATAGGAAATAATAATAATGTATTTGACAAAGACCAGGGAAACAGTAGACTGTTTCGGTCAGACAGGGTACAGAAGTCTTTTTTATTATAGACGAGGCCAGACAAGCACGGTTCCACTTGATGAAAGGCATATTTGAAACCGTCAACTTGTCAAATACATACCTTTAAATAAAACCGATTAATGGAACGGGTACAGTAAATGTTTCCGTTCCCCCCATAGGGGGGATTTCACTTATTGGACGAAGACTGACCTGCTTCCGCCGTTGAGATGAGCGGAGTCGTGTGACGCGGTCGTCGCTAGCGAGTCGGCGTCACCGCGTCGCGATCTTTCCGAGCGACCGGAACCGCTGTCGGATCGACGACTGAAATGGATTTATGAAGTTTAGAATCTTAATAACATACTGTCTATAGTTTACGCGAGTAGTACACATTAAAATAAAACGCTTTAACGGTTTAAAACGGGGAGTCTCCCCGTGACCACGGCTGCTGCAAACGTCGGGCCGAAGTTAAAAATCATTTCCAAATAAGTTTAACTAATATATCGCGTTTTAAACCGTTAGTGTTTTATTTAAATGTTAATAACAATAAAGATGAAGAGTTTATTTCTTCGAAGGCGCCAATCTAACAACCTAATTGAAAAATCTTTTGTTTGTTGGAGCTTTTATCTAGAAAGGTTTTAGGCTATATAAATAGATAAAATACTAGACACAAATCAAATGTTGGTGTGTAACAAGGAAGCAATAGAGTGTATGTTTTATAACCTGAGGAAAGACCAAAACAAATAGTGCCGATTACAAACTACCTAAGACTAGCGACGACCGTTCTTAGAGTAGCCGTTGCCACAGACGACATAGGGATAAAAAAAACATTAAATGTATATGGACCAAACCTCAATAATCAAAATCATTTTCAAGCTTTTCAGCGATCGTGCATGAGTGGGAAACCCCCGACATCCTAACCATATGTTAATGTCGATTCGATCTGTACGTAATTGTTTACGTAAATGCATTCTTATTCTTGATTTTTACTAAGTGCATTTGAGGTAATTTCATTAGTACAATATCCAAGCTTGTGAGAAAATCACTTTTTCATGTAAATTGTTTGTTTACCAAAAAGGCCAAGTTAGAAAAAATACACTATAGATGACTTTGGCAAACATTGACATTTTCGAAACGGTGTCACTACTAACTCATCAATTACCTTTCAAAGCTATCTGGACTGAGTCTGCAAGAGTGATCGTTGTGTGGCAACGCTATGTGTGTCGCGGCTGAGTCACGAACCCGGACTTCCTCAGCTCCGACCGTAACCACTGAGACGTGGGATGTGTCCTGTAAATGAATAAAATTTTATTGTAATCAATTTATGTTCTAGTAACATGTAATGTCAACCATAATTCGTAAGTTGGTAAGGTTGAAATTATATAGTAAAGATATCATTGGGTTGAAGAAATTCGACAATGAGGTGTGAGACACGGTAGCTCAATTGGTTAGAGAATGTCTGCGGTTAAGTCTGCGTCGTCGATTATTTCAATCCATATATTTTTTTCATTTATATAAAATTTTAGATTCTAAATTTTAACTATTTACATTACTGAGACTAAGTGTTTATAATTATTATTAATTAAATAAATAAAATGGTCAAAACTTACCAAATTAAGGTTATGCGAGTCATCGAACCCGAGACCCGAGTCTCCAGCGCCAGGACTAAGGATCAACACTTCACTGCTGTCCAGACGACGACCGCGGCTTTTCTCTACAATTAAAAAAACATATGTAAAATACCTTATAATTAAGCATATAAAATTTTAAGCACCAATTTATTATAATAAAAGTAAAAGTTCAAAACAGCGGCAACGATATTCAGCGCTGGACGAATCCTGCGTATAAGTCAAAAATAAGGGCGGAAGCGGGCGCGGGGTGAGTGAACGTCATGTGCGTTAGCGTTATTTGGTTCCCCAGTCGTGTTGTCTTTCTCGGACCAATACGACGCTCCGCTTGCTTCTCGAGTACGATCACGTTTTCCAATCAATTAATTACGTGCGAGATTGTACCAATGTGCAACTATCCCTCTACATTTCGTTCAGCCCTGAACATTCGTGCCGCGACCTATATTTGATTTTGTAGAAAAACTACTTACAAGTGCCAATATAAATTAATATTCTATTAAACAAAACTTACGAACTTATCAATGTGTAAGAAACACATGTATGAAAGGGATCGAGAACCACATTACCAATTGAGCTACAATGTCACCACATGTCACATAATAGCTCAATTGGTAAGTCTTGGTCTTGGTTCGTATCGACATCATTTATGTTCCAATCGAATATTTAGCTCAGATTCTCTCATAAGAACAAAATATTGAATAATACAATAGTAACTAGTCATATATTTCTAACCTGTATAACACGTAGTGCAATCGAGTGAGTCTAGCGATGATGGCGCAAAACAGTCATCATCAGACGATGATCCCGTAGTTCCGCCAGTGACCACGCTAGCCGCACCCACGCCAGCGCCCACTATGACAACTTCGTCCGCGATCGGCGGCGTACTAGATATGGTGACTGCGTTCGGTGGTAACTGCAAATACATAGGTATAAAAACAAATTTAAATAAGTCATTCTCACACCCTCTTAAAAATGTTGTAAGGCATTATCGTTTTAAATTTATAATATATTTTATTAGGCAGCTTTATTTATGAGTGTATTCAAATAGTTTAATAAAAATAAAAATTACTTTATTAACTTAAATTTAAAATACGTTAATAAAGGTTTGTGCTTTTTAAGTCGTATTAAAGACTTTGTTTTTTTGTCGCCGAATACCTAAAGCCAAAATAGGCCGACAGCGCATCTTGTTTGGATGCTATAAGGGGTATTTCACCTACCATCGAGTAAACCCCACGCTTGTCTGTCTTCTATCATAATAAAAACACGTTTGGCATTACCAATATTACAATCGCGTGACACTCGAGACACAATATTACGTACAAGCTAATGAAATGACGTCGCGTTACGAAATATCAGTCAATTGTCAAATACACATTGTACTTGACAATGTACATTTATAAATGTTATTCTTCAAAATCGAAAATAAATTTAAAAAAAAAATCGACCCGGGCATGACTTTAACGGGCATCGTCAGCGTTCCGCGCTGTTGCTCTACCAATTGAGCTATCGAGTCCTACGCCTATAGAATTTATGTTAAGACGCAAAATCAATATAGAATAAGTTGTAAACTCACCCTAGCACCAGTGTTGAGTACTGGTGGGTGCGTTGTGGTGACGGTGACCAAGCCACATGGTGCCGCATCCAGGGAGTTAGGCTCAGCGCTCACTGAAACCACTGTGACGGCCTGCGATGGGGACGGTTGGCGCGTGTCGTGCGATGAAGTCTAATAGTAAGATTAAAATTGAGACAAGTTATTTATCTAGCAATTAAAATTAATTTTAAATGAGTATATTTATTACAGTTAAAAACGCGAATTATATTAATTGCTTTTTATTTCGACAACTATTTCCCTCACGGTGTCGCGTCGGGTCTTAATTAAACATAAATTCACATCTACATTTTTGACATAAATAGTAGGTAGTTTACGCGAGTACTACAAATTTTAATAAAACACTTAAACGGTTTAAAACGCGACATTATTTTAACTACTGTTCGACGTTTCGGATGCTTTGCAGCAGACGTGGTCACAGGGTCACCTGGTCAAATAAGTTTTACTAATATATATCGCGTTTGAAACCGTTAATCGTGTTTTATTTATTGTAACGTTTCATTAATAAGAGTATTATTATGTGAAATAGTTTAAAATGCAATGGTATTATTATTATTTTTTACCAAGAAGTATAATAACTCACCATTATCGGACCAATCTCAACTGCAGTCTTCTCATCAATAGAGCTAGACCTAGAATAGTCTCTAAGAACGCGATCTAGTCTATCTTTATCATCCATACTTCTAGACCTAGACTCAATCCTAAGCACTTCAGCACTAACTCTCTTCTTATCATTCTTATCTATCTCTTCTGTTGATCTAGCTCTATCTTTCTCGCTTCTATAAATATCTGTATTGGACTTATTTAATACTTCTGTGATATCCTTCTCCTTCTCCAACGATATTCTGTCGTTGAAACTCTTTCGTTCTTCCGCGACTCTAACTTCACTGAATGTCTTTTCCGATAACCTTACATCGTTAAGACTCTTCCTTTCCTGCGATCTGTCTATGACTCTTACGTCATTCAAACTCTTCTTTTCAATTCCTCTGTCATTGCTCTTCTCTTCGATAGTTCTGACGTCATCTAGACTTTTCCGACTCGACTTCTCCAGTTTACTCTCGATCTCCATGCTTCTTCTTTTGATTTCACTGCTTATTTCTTTACTGTATCGTCTCGACTTTTCTATGTTATCAATTGTTTGAGGGACTTCCTTTTCGACTTCATTCTTAACTTCTGCGCTCTGCCGTTTTACATCAACGCTATTACGTTTAACATTATTCTTGTCTTCTGTTTTAACGTTAACAATATTTGTTACGTCCACTTTATCTTTGAGCTCAATTTTGTTTCTGTCGAATTCAGTACTGTTCCTATTAACGTCGTGTTTAATTTTAACGTTGACACTGATTTTGTCGTCTGCTGTTTCTAGTCTATCTGCCTTTGGTTTATTGTCTTTGTTTGTTAAGTCTATCTTTTCTGCATTTTGAGAATGTTTTTCGACCGCCTGCTCTGCTTCTCGACATACCTATAAATAAATAAAAAAGTTATGTTAAAATACCTCATTATCTTTAACGTTGTTCTTGTGTATATATACATCATTATAATTTCTTACCTGGTCAACAATAAGCTTGCTGGCGGTTGTGGGGCTTGCTGGTGTCGGTGCGGGGGGTGGAGGGGCAGGCTGTTTGCGACCACCGCGAGTTACTTGTGCCGGAGGCGTCGTTGGGGTCGTTAGCGGCGTGGGAGCAATTGAATTTTGTACGAGCGTAGGTGTCTGAATGGCAGCTGGCGTTGTGGGAGATGATGAGACAGGTATTGGAGTAGCTGATGATGGTGCAGTAGATGTGGGGGTGGTAGGCGATGGTGTGGTTGAGGATACGGGTGTCGCAGCCGCGACTGAGGGCGCAAGTGCCAATGTGGGTGGCGATGGAGCTGTTGGGGACGTAGGAGTTGCGGGAACCGCGGGCGGCGGCGGCGCGGGACCTTTCTCTTTCTTTGGGGCCTAGAAACAAGTTATCCAATAAATTATGAGAATTAAAAGAAAGATATTAATTACATTAAGAAAGATGTGATTTACAAACATTAGATTAATTTGTCTACTTATCAACTGTTTTTGCAATCTCGAAACAAAAAACTAACAGGTCATTTATTTTTAATTACAATAGATTACTCACGGGCGGTTTCCTGTCAGCGTGCCGATGGTCGTCGGCGTCTTCGTGCGGTCTCTTGGCGGGGTGCGCGGGCGCAGGGGAAGCAGCGCGCGGAGAGGGCGGCGCGGCGGCGGGAGCGCGTGCCGGCGTCGTGGCTGGGCATGGTTCCTGCTCTGACACTAAGGAGAAAAAAAAAATAAGAACTTTTTCATAAGAAGTCATCTTTTAGTGACTGAAACAACATAAATGCATACTTTTTATATCCGGCGTCTCGCCCGACCGCACCGATGTAGAGTCATCTTCTATCTCCATCTGCATTTGAGAGCTGCGATGTTCCTATAATATCGAATAAGTACTTTGTTAAAACTTCACCATACTAGTAATGGGCAAAACGTGGCTTCATATCCGGCTCGAAGGACCAATAACTTGTATATTAACGAGATTAGACACAGAATATTATTTTAAACTGTATGTAGCACAGAGCCTAAATCTCAATTAAACAGCTATACACATAATGAATAAAGTATAATATATTTTCCCGCTTAACTAAAGCCTTAAAATGAATACCTTCAACAACCGATGACACTCTTGCTGCTGTGATCCGTAGTGAAAGCGATACATAAACACAAATTTAATTTTTCTACAAATAATATGAAGTAAGAAGACGAAATAGTTCGACAGGGTATGAAAATTCAGGTAAATAATCAAATTGGCAAGTGATGTAACTACTTTAGGAATAACATTTTTCTCTACATAATATTTATTGTGCTCGTGGTCATTCAAAAATCTATAGGACATTGTTCATTATAAAAACTATACACAAATTAAATTGTACTACATTAACAAAGGTATAAAGCAAAAGGTACAACACACAAGGATTTACAGTTGTAAACTTTCCTAAGACTTTTCTCTAACGTCCTTTTGAAGATAGGAACTTAAAGCATAGGTTACTTGTCGCAATAAAACATTAATATTCAGACATGCCTTTAACCCCGGGTCCAACGTGTTTCCGAATGTAAAAACTCAAAATAGGTCGATAGCGCATCGTGTTGCGTTGTTATATTGCTAAGGTATTTAATTTTTCATCGAATGGACTCAATCAACTCTTTCTTATGTGTGCTCCCTTATCACAACAAATGACTGATCATACTTATAATTGGCACATCAATCTTTATGATTCAACGCCCACAGACCATGTTTTGTCCTTATTTTCGCCGGAGATGAGAAAGAGAAAACGATGTATTAACTATAGGTCAGTTTACACTTGCAAATCTTTCAATACATAAATACTAACCAACCCTCTGATATTGCTCGCGGTTGACGCGTGCTCGTCTCTTCTTCTATCCGTTAGTAAGCGTGCGCAAGCGTTTATTTTAGTGCTAGTTAGTAGACTTATTTAAACAACAATGGGTTATTTGACTGATTTTTACAATGTACTTTAATTTACTTGGTAGCAGGAAGGCCAGAAAGGTGTAGTTCTGAATTCTGATACATATTTTCTAAAATATATCAAACTAAACATCCAACATAACGCTGCAATGCGGCTAGTGACGTCACGACCTTATATTGGCCATTGGTGTATGTCGATCATATGATCTACAATCTACGTTTGTACCAAACATTTATATTTCAACAGTGATTGAAGTAATAAAATGAGTTACAAATTTATTTATTTATTACCGCGAGAATAGAGCTGTTTTAACACTAAGAAGCACGGTGGTTTATAAGCCAGTGACGTCACCATAAACCCGACCAATCGGGAGCGTTTTGTGTTACGTGACGAAAGTTTAAAAAAGTTAATTTTCATTGAAATCAAATATTATTTTTAACATTCGTGACTGTTTTGCTACTTCTAAACTAATACTTAATACTGTTAACAGCAATTGACGATGTATTCTTCGCATTGTCAAATAGCCCATTGTTTACACAATTCTTTGCAAATATAATCATTAGTACTTTGGTTTTAGTGTTTTATATTTAATATTAATAATAAAAAATGAATTTGAGTATCCGCATTATTATTATTTGCGAAATAGTTTCAAAGTAGTATTACTCCTTAAACTCACCTCAGAATCGTCATCAAGTAATTCCTCTTCGACCACCTCAGCTCGATATTCTAGTAGAAGATCTCGAAGCGACTTCGAATCGAGATTACCGGTGACAAACTCGTGCTTGAGGAGGTCCGACGATGTCGGACGCTTTTCCGGGTCCTGGAAAGATAATATCAGTATAAGGATACTTTCATATAACGTTAAATTATAATTTATTGTATGTTATTACTAACGCTTATACGTCCTAGAGGCAGAGTGGCCTAATGACAAAAAAATATATGATTTTCAATAAGGAGGAAAATAAACATGCACAATTAACTTAGGCGATTATTTGTGTAAGAATTATGTTAACAATTTTCGGTCACTGTGCTGTTGTAAATTAACATTGTTAGACTAGGAAAATATAAATAAGTCATAAAATTGCAGTTAGGCTACTCTGCCCCTAACCTCATATAGTGTCCATTGTGGAATTAATTAACTCGTTTTTCTAACGAGCGATGAGTCTTTTCCAGATATATCAACAATTAGTTGTACCCGCGGCGTCGTTCGCATGGTGTAGTTATTTTGGGCAACATATTATTTAAGTTGCAAAGTACTTGAAATATAGCTGTTACGCACGACGTCCTGTCGTTCTTGCGAGTTAATCTTGAACGATAGACATAGCGCGCGGACTTTTTTACATTATTTAAATGAGAATAATCATTTGTTTCTTCTTTTCACATGCCCATCGGTTTCATCGCTCCTATTTATCGAAGTGTATTGTTTAGCGACAAAGTATCTAAGAGAGAAGTTATAGAGTCCACATTCCATCAAATGAACCGCAAGCTTGCCTATTTCCCCTCTGTCATAAAAAAGACAAACTCGCCTTAACAAGCGCCTTCGATATGAAGTCGTTGAAGTGCTTCGACCACCTGGAGGGCTGCTCGAGGGTCGGGGGGTCGCTCTTCTGTATCTTGAGCAGCACACGCATTGGGGTCATCTCGTGATTGGGCGGCTCCATTTGGGCGAACTCGATTAATGTAATACCGAGTGACCAGATGTCCACCTGGAAATATACATTTTAGTTATGAAAGACAGTAGTATAGTCTGTAGAGTAAGGTTAGAAAGAAGTTTTTGAAGAAAGAGTAAGCGAAGACGGCGAGAGAGGTTGTCAAGTCTCCTGATAGGCTATTGGAACCAAACTGGATGGCGCGGCGGGAGCGACGGTAAAGATTCGATTCCTCCAAGCAAAATAAAAGATTAGAAAAACGGTAATCGTAGGGATAGTAGTAGTTAGGTATGACAGGCCAAATATATTTTTCACATATAAGTACATCTTCAGCGAAATAAAAAAAGCCTTTATTCCTCTTGGTTGTTATAAAGCAAGTAAAACCGACAATTGTGTCCTAAATTCTTCCTTCGACGAAGGTTTCTGCCTAATGTGTACTCATTCATTTTAACTCGGTCATATTAACAACAATTTAATCAAAAAGACCAACATTAGATCTTTAGTCGTATCAGGCAAGGTAAATCATTCCCTGTTAAAAAAAGACCTAAATATATTTTTAAATACTGTGGCGCGCCTCCGCTCTGATTAGTACGACTAGCGTTCTTCCCCTATGCGGGTTTCCCCAGGTTCAGAAACGTAGTGTAAGGCGGCGTAGCGTGCAGTCGGCGTAACTCGACTCGCCACGGTTTTGTTGCCGAACAGTGTTCTTCGATTGCTCTTGTCGCTGGTTGCCGTTCGGCCCACGCACCCTGCTAGTGCGTATTGGGTTTGAGGGTGTCTGGATCAGGATCGCCAATAAGAAACGACTTCTTAAGGTTTCTTGAGAGTTGTCCGATGTTCTTAGGTGGTTTTTCTTCAATGGCTGGTTAGCGTCTGATTTTTGCACTCTCCTTTGCGGATTTTTCAATCTTACGGAGCGAGCGCACTATTTGTGTGGTGTAACGTAGTCACCTCATCGGACCTCTCTCTCATTTATTGTCTATCTCTTTCTAACAGTATGCATCTCTTTCTAATAGTATATGTACTACTCTTACACTTTTTATTATTTACATATTTCAATATAAAACTTATTTCTAATCTTATTTTATTACAAATTTCTTAATACTATGGTCGCCTACAAATACAATAAAAATGTGTGTGTATCTTAACTTATAAATTTACTTAATATTATCTGATAAAACTGTACCATTGACTATCAAAATATATAAACAGAAGCGAAATTATGCCTCCTTATCTTCGTCAATATTTGATAGCTATCTAATAATTACGAAATTGAAATAATTACTGATATTATAAAATAGATAATATAATAAGGCTTATAGTTGAATAATAAAATCTACACTCTGCTCGGCTGTTAATGTTATGAGCATAGTCCCATATCCCCAAAATTGGCCAAAGGCCACGATTATGTACCAATATCAATAATCTAGCCCAAACTTTTTGTGACGTAGACCCATTGCCAGGTTTTTTCGTGTTGGGTAGACCCCCTATTTGCCTGATATTATTTTCCTGTAAATTTCTAACTGTAGGGAAGTTTAGTGTTAAGATAAGTTAAAGTAAAAACATATGCACATATATATTATATCCTGGGTACTTTAATAAATAATATATGTCTTTAGATATTAAAAGATAGTATGATGTAAGTAAATAGGTACTATCAGTGTGTTGGGATCCACTATCGCAGACCCCCAAATTATTTTTGGCTGACGTAGACCCCTTGCAGGTTGTCGACCCCTAGGGGTCGGTTTAGACCACTTTGAGAATCACTGAACTAGGCCAATGATAGACAAGCAAGTGTTCTACTAAAAGACAGATTGATACAGGCATCTCTCGCGCAATGTAATATCAACCTTATTACATGCGTATTAATGTTCAATGTCTATTGTCTATTTAAGTGGAATATCTAGACATTGAACGTGTGTTAGTGTAATGAACTGACCTTAAAATCGTACGGATTGTCCCTAAACGTCTCGCAGAGAACAACCTCCGGCGCCATCCAGTACGGGGTGCCTATGAACGTGTCGTGTTTCTGAAGTGTCGACTTATTTTTCGCAGACACGCCGAAATCAGCTGTAATGAGGAAATAATATTATTTTTAAAGAGAAATAACGCAATGGCATCTTACAAAGAAGCACTGTTGTTTTGACTTATGGAAAGTCATACTGAATTTAAATGCTATTTTTCTTATTGCTAAACAATAGATAAATTAGGAAATACCTTTAGATAAGAAATGTACCTGATTTATATTTGATTTGTATGTCTAAGTAGTTATAATTATATAATCATATTTTCTTTTTGTTTCATACTCAAGTAAAATCCAACTACCCTCAAAATGTTCACCTTATTTAAGGGGAGTAAACTAGGTAGGTATTCAATGAGTATCCATCTACTCAGCAAAGCAGAAGATGAGACCAAAGAACTAAATATGGGACAGATAATAAGATTTTGCAAAAAAAACGAAAGCCATCATATACATAGTATGTAGTTTTTGCGAGTTGTATATATTTAAATAAATACTCGAACGGTTTAAAACGCGATATATATTCGTTAGCCTTACATAAAAATTATTTTAACTACGGCCAAACGATGTGGATGCTATCCAGCAGCCGTAGTTATTTAGAATTTACGGCTAATATAAGTTTAACTCATATACTTTGCTTTTTAAACCGTTAGTGTTTTATTCAAAGGGTAAAATGTTGTGGACTGATTCACGAACCTTCTATCGGTGTCAACAATAGAAGTTAGTAATAAGGGGGGATAAAGTGCTTGGTGGTTTAGCTGGAGCCACTATGAGCATATTACTCACCCAGTTTGACCCCGCCCGTCATAGTAGCCAGCACGTTGCCCGCCTTCAAGTCCCTGTGTATGACCTTCCGCGAGTGAAGGAACTCCAGCCCCTTGCACATCTCCCGGCAAACGTACGCGATCTGCGACTCGTTCAGGCCCTTCTCTAGCTCGGCCATGACTGAATCGAGGGCGCCACCGTCGCAGTACTCGAGGAGCATCTGGGATACAAACAGTATTATAAATACTATGCGCTATTTGAGTATGCGAAAAAAATATAACGGCAATTACTGGTATAGGCATTAAGCATAAGTTTAGAAAGAGAACAAGCAAAACAGTCACATATGTTAAGAGTAATTTTAAAATTAAACTGATTAAAATTTGATTTAAATAAAAAAAAGCTTATAAAATTAACCTTTTTACACAATGTTTTTTGTGACATACTTTATTTTGACTTTGATACTTGACGTTTGACTCTCCAAGCATTAAGATGATAAACTATTTATCTCCTTGATTAAATGATATACATTAAATAACACACTATTAACGGTTTAAAACGCGAATATATATTAGTAACCCGCAGTGGTTATAATATAAGTAACTGCAATGGAATTTATATCATAGACTTAAGGGGCTTAAGAAATAATTTAATTGCTATAACATTCGACATAGGTACTAAAGATATAACTAAATATATTTTTCAATTTTTGATTTCGGGTAGTGTTTAAATAAATTAAAAAATAAACATATTTATTTGGTGTGTTGGGCCATATCCCCCAAATCCCTGGCTACTCACCCACAGCTTGTTATCAATGAAGTATGCCTCGTGCAGTTCCACCACGTTGGGATGCCGGCACTCCGTGAGGATGTCGATCTCCACCGTAAAGTCGGCGAGGTCGTCCTCGTTGTCGAGGACGCACATCTTCGCCGCGGCCAGTTGCGCCGTGGTCTTGTGCTGAGCTTTGTACACCTGCAAGATATGACACAGACAATTTATTATTTTGAGGTAGTTCTTGAAAGTTAAAGTATGCAGTTCAAATGTCCGCATAGTTAATTTTGCTATGCATTCTCGACTTTGAAGTAGGGAATTGCTTACTGTCTGTAGTTTACGCGAGTAGTACACATTTAAATAAAACACTTTAACGGGTTAAAACGCGATATGTATATTAGTTAAAGTCATTTGAAAATTATTTTAACTGCGTCCCGACGTTTCACCGAATACCAACTTCGACGGAACAGATAGCGCTAGCGTAGCAGTTTTTACTTTGACACTAGGTGACCTTCATCTATAGTTTCCCCGTGACCACGGCTGCTGTAAAACATCTGAAACGTCGGGCCGCAGTTAAAGTAATTTTGTAACGTTTTAAAGCGTTAGTGTTTTATTTAAATAGGGAATTACTGTTTGGACTGGTAGCCTTTAGCCTATATAAGTATATGCCTAATAATCAACGGTTCGAGCACCACCGGTCCAACATATTTCTAATTTATGAATTTATAATTGTTACTGAAACTCGTTGGACTTCTCCTGGAAATCTGGATATTAAATAGATGGTAGGAATATAGAAATTCCGACCGGCTCACGAACCACCGTCCGCACATGAAACAGCCGTGAAGTTTTGTGGATTTCCGAATATCCAAAGCCTCTTGTTTAGAAGCAAATAGGCTGCGGTATACCATCTACCATCAAGTAAATGCCATGTTTGTCTGTCCTCCACTGACAAAAGAGTAATGAAGTTGGGGACTTCTATTGGGGACACCGATTGAATTGATTGCTGGGGGGGTACCACTTCACGCTGCCCTGTATCCCCCTTTTCCCATAATGAAAAGTAATCTCACCTTTCCAAACGCCCCATCGCCAAGCTCCCCGATCATGTCCCAGTTCTCATTGGGGTCGCTGTTGTCCCGGATGTTGCTGAACACTTTTTTCTTTTTCGCGTCATGTCCGCCGCCGAGGTGTAGCACCTGGAACGTGACAAGTGTATGAAAATATGGAGTTACATTTTCAAACGAAAATTATGTTTAAATAAAACACTTTGACGGTTTAAAACGAGAACGTTTCGGATGATTTACAGCAGCCGTGCAGCCAGCAGAGACATCTTCCATCTTTAGTCTCCCCGTGACCACGGCTGCTGCAAAGCATCCGAAACGACGGGCCGAAGTTAAAAATCATTTTCAAATAATTTTAACTAATATATCGCGTTTTAAACCGTCAAAGTGCTTTATTTAAATGCGCACTACCCGCGTAAACTATAGACGGTATTCGAAAATTATGTTTTGACATACAAGTATGTCAAATTTTTTTATTATGTTTTATGTTTTATGAGTAGTAATTTGAAAAAAATCCATTAAATATTGAATAATAAACAAAGTTATAAACAACTCTGGTCTGTGGTGTACAAACAAGTGTTTGAATGCTGTCTATAGTTAACGCGAGTAGTACACATTTAAATAAAACACTTTAACGGTTTAAAACGCAATATATTAGTTAAACTTATTAGAAAATGATTTTGAACTCGAGCTCGACGTTTCATTCAATTATTTTCAAATAACTTGAACTAATATATCGCGTTTTAAACCGTTAAAGTGGTTTATATAAACAAGTGTTTGGTTAAACACTGTCTGTAGTTTACTCGAGTATTACTGTAACTGTAACGAGATAGATATATATTAGATAAATTTGTTTCAATTATTTCACCGTGTCTCCTCGTGACCACGGCTGCTGCATGGCATCCGAAACGTCGAGCGAAAATAATTTTCAAACAAGTTTAACTAATATATATCGCGTTTTAAACCGTTAAAGTGTTAGGTTGCTATAAATGTCAGGCTGAAATTAAATTAACCATCTATTTCGACATCATGTGACCACATTTGAAAGGTATTCAAGATTTCGAGGGATATAGTTTTTTTATTTATTTCAGGAGTAAAAGTCACTAGAGTTAAAATATTTCGGCTACTTCAAAATTATCCTACATTTTATGAATTAGACAAGTTGATAGTGATTATTAAATGTTGTTATAACAATACACTCTCTGAATTACATCTTATTGGCGGAGGTAAATAACATTTTTGACAACATAGCTTTACTTTCCACCGCGCAGGAGCATCATGGGGAAGCGAGGGATATTTTTAAATCCCCACCAAAGTACGGAAATAGGACATTTAATGACTTATTACCGACCGCTTTGAAGTGGCATCGACGTAGCGTAGGGACCATCGAACTACGACACTCATAATTTCTATAAATGAAAGAAATTTCAAACTTTTTTTTATTTAGACTGAAACAGACTATCTGTCTATTTAAGTCCTCATAGATTAGATAGCTCATGATTTCATTTGTTGACACGGGCTAATCTCGGGTTAGATTTGATTAGGCAAACTAAAGGTTCAAGTTTTGGATAGACCATTTATAGGCATATAGATATAAGGTCACGCTGCGAAAAATAGGAGTGAAGAAATGGTGTAGGTAGTAGTGGTAGGTCAGGTAGCTAGTCTTAGAAGATAGACATACATCGCGGACTTTTTTTTTGCAGATCTTTTAAGGCAGAATCATTCTATCATACATATTTTTTGGTAAATTCAAATTCAAATACATATTTGTTGGTACGGAAACCCGTAATGGTGAATATTTTTCAAAAAATCTCTCACTTTTGTCGCTGTATCTTCGCTTGTATTAGCCACTCGATGAATGCTCTAGCCAATACAAAAAAATGTTCAATTCGAACCGGAAGTTCCTGAGATTAGCGCGTTCAAAGATACAAACAAACTTTTCAGCTTTATATATTAGTATAGAAGTATAGATAATTGCGTTGTACAAACCTTCTTGAGATTATTAAAGAACGACATGTTTATGGTGGCGCGTCGTGTTTCGACGCGCTTGCGTCTCACCCGTCTTTACACATTCTGACACCGCGCCGCTGCATATGTCTGGAAAAAGAACGATATTTATTATATGTAATAGAACTGAAAAAGAGAAATTATTGGCTACAGTAAGGGTGATTAACAATATAAAACAATTGACGGTTTCAAACGCAATATCGTTTTTACTTTTTACTTCGATTTACTATGTACTAACAATAATAAACTTTATAACTACGGTTTAAGCTTTATCGCGTTATGTTTTTATTATATATTTTTTATGTTCTTAGCGTGTAAAATGTAAAAATATACAATGCTTAAGATCCTAGGATCTTTAAAATAATAATGCCACTTGAACTTCGTCTGTTTACACGAATGGTTTTAACGGTTTCAAACGAGTAAGATATTAGATAATTTACTCAACTATCCTCTCGGATAACTGCTTACCTAACTAGATAGAACATGCCACATATTTCGCGTTTTTAAATTTCGAACAGTAACCTTTTAATATTCACTGTTTGTTTTTATCTTGTTGCGATAACAGCATTATTTTTTTCGAATGGCTATCTCTTAAATATGAAACTATCACTACTATATTTTAAATGCATGAAACAATATTTACTTACTGAAAAACAGTTGTGGGCTTGTACAACAGCGCTTCGAGTAGTCGCTGTTTATCTTGAATAGATTTAATTTATATTATTGAAAAAGCTGCGAAATAACGTGTAAAAATAATTATCAACCTTTATAGCGCTCAAAGTGAATACACATGATGCATTTAATCAAATCCGGTTTGATGTGCTCGTTGGTCTAATGGTTTGGTCTATTAATCGACGGAGGTTCGATCCCCACACGATCTAAGATGTTTCTAATCAATTTATATTTTTTCTCGAACATTTTGGACTTCGGTTGGAAATCTGGATATTAGAAGATAGATATTAGAGATGCCGGAGGATCACGTGCTAGTCGTGTTTGTCTGGCCTCCTCTATACAAGAAAATCAAAACCATCGTCAACCATCAACAATACGCAGATACAATGCCCAATGTCATCAATAACGTTAATAATCACGAATTCATCGTATTTCGTTCGCGATCGACCTCCAATTGTTCGTCCTTGTCATATAAACATTGTCACGTGAATGTAACGCTTATTGCGACCGACTAAGGATATCGCATTCGGAGGAAAATGTATATGGGCGGCGTATGGTCCAAGTGATAAGATTTCGCACCGTTAGCGGTATTATAATTCGTGTGCACATAACAAGCATGTCTATGAATTTTTACTGTTTCTAAGTGTATAACAATAAATATCGTACTTCATTAAACTCACTAGAGACTTGCAAACGCGAGTAATTTTCGAATTTTAAATCACAACATAGTATAAACAAAGTTGCTTTTTCTGTCCCTATGAACGCTTAAATCTGTACAACTACGCAACTGATTCTGATGCGGTTTTATTAATGTTAAATTAATTAATGATTAAATAGGAGTGATTCAAAAGTAAGGTTTTTTATATACAACGTTCACATTTTTTTCTGTAGTGTATTTAGTATCAGCATTGCACCCGAGCGAAGGCGGGGCGGGTCGCTAGTATAATATAAATATAAATGACTCTAGAAGACGTAGTTTGTAATTTTTTTTTTATTTGAGCACATTACATTATTCGAAACACATTTTCTAAGTTAATTTACATTTTAAATAAATTAAGAAGAAAAACACTATATCATCAGTAGCGTAGCTAGGTGGAGAAGGGCCCCCGGTCTACCTGATCCTAAGGCTCAAGAAAGAATCGAGTCCTCATCCCCTCTTTTAGCATAATTAGACTTAAAACAACCTCAAAAATTAAAAATAGAAACAAGAACGTTAAAAATCTTTTTCTTCTACGCTTATATCTTCTCAAAAATTAGGTTGGAGGGCCCCTAAGTACCGGGGCCCTGGTGCACTACATCACCTGAATGTTGACAATTCGGACAAAGTATACAATCACTATATATTAGAACACTTTATAATAATGGCTATTCTGTCCGTTATATTAAAACGCCAAGTTTTACCCTTTTTTCTAGTGAAATGCAAACCAAAAAGCAAACAGTATGTGAAAGCATTGTTTAATAAAATATGGACAAACAGATATGGACCACCGTCCACAGAAGAAAAAGCCGTGAAGTTAATCGCGTTTTGGCTCCTATCAGTGGATTTAAGAATACCCAAAGCCGAAATAGGTCAACAGCACAAGATGTTATATGGCTGGGGTATTCCACCTTCAATTCTTCTATCAAGTAAATCTGATATCTGTCTTCCTTGTAAAACTTCTTTTCTTTCACGATTATCTCTTTCCCAAGATGACGTTGGACGCTCGTCTAAGCTCCAGGGCCTTGGTGCCCTTCACCACCTAGTCTTAAGATAGACACGTCACTTGGTAGTGTGCGGTGTGGTTGTAACTCGCCCCAACTTGCACCACAGACGCATGACTCACACGCGTATCCCATAGTTTTATCAAGTTTCCGCTGGCACGTGATAATTGTTCGACAATTTCATATCATCGTAATATTATGCGTCGAAAAAAGTGTGGGCGTGGGCTGTTTGACTTGATGAGTGGCTATCACTCTATAGGAGTAATTCTCATACTCTCGTTATTTATCAGACAACTCCAAAATTATAAGTTCTCTTCTAGCTAAAAATAACCTATCTATACTAATATATAAAGCTGAAGAGTTATGTATGTCTGAACGCGTTAATCTCAGGAACTACTGGTTCGAATTGGAAAAATAGTTTTGTGTTGGTTGGTTGGAAAATTTTGGGCATCCAAATTTGTTTTTGTAAACGTTGTCTTTATGTTTATAAATTTAAGCTATTCCTTACGATTTCGGACGCGGGCCGTCCTTTTTGCATGTTAATCCTAAAAGATAGACATAGTGTCGTGGACTTCTTTAGATCGTTTAAAGAGTCATCATTCTTTTATACATATTTTTTTGATATTTCGAAACTCTTCTTTTCTTCGTATAGTGGTCGCAGCGTGATATATTATAGCCTTAAGTCTTCATCAATTAATGTTCTAAACAACAAAAGAACAATGTTCAATACGATCCAGTAGTTTCTGAGATTAGCTCGTCGAAACAGACAAACTCATCAGCTTTATAATATTAGTATAGATGTAAAACTAAACAAGATAAAAATAATTGAAATTCTCTCAATCAAAGGCCCTCCAATGGGACACAAACACTGAATGTAAATTCATAATGTGAATGCACTCTCCGGGGATTGAACGAGATAATTAAACGCAGGATTATACCACGAACCCACTTTGCAGTCGGGCGGCGTCACGGCAGTTGGTATGTTCACAAGCGGAGCGGGTCGCAGAGCGATAATTAGATAATGCAATAAAATATACGTATATATATATATTTTTTAATTTCTTTTCTTCTTGCAACTTGAGGTTGCCTGGAAGAGATCGTCGAAAGGGCAAAGAGAGAGAATTTAAAACTTGTTGCCTAAAGACGAATACTATTTTGCCTTCCATCTGTCCCAAGCCACACGAGGCCTACTGTTTTAACATTGTTATAGCTAGAGCTACATAATTAAATGTTTATTAAAATTTTATATAAAACAAATTATGCGAGAGCGAATCGATCTAGGATTCCCGATCGTCTATTTTTTATTTTACACAGCATTAATTATTCATACACGTAATTATTGGACTTTTTATTAATATTAATATTTAAAGTATTTCAATATATTTTGATTTGGTTTAGGGAGATAATCTTGAAAGATATGTACATTTTTTAGAGTGTCTGTAGAATAATTCAGCGCACACAACGGTAAGCCCTAAAGATATTCCCCCCTTGTCCACGTTTCTTTCTGTTTTTTCGCTACTATTGGTCGCAGCCTGATATTTTATAGTCTAAAGACATCCTCGATACATACACAAAAGTACTAAATTTAAACCAGTCTTTATTAAGAAAACAAACAAGCAAACTCTTCAGCTTAATAATCGCTCCACTCGTCAACGTGTCCTCGTTCTAAATCAACGATGATGTCATGCCGTCTACAGAGTCACAAGTATTTATAAAGATATTATAATTTGCCGCTGACTAATATCTATTAACAATGCTGACATGATTGGCGAAAAGAGTGATTTATTTTTATATCCATACGACACAAACGGGCTTGACGGAAGGCTTAACACCACTGCAATATAACATCCAAGGACGATGCGCTGTCGACTTTTATATTTTTGCTTTCGATATTCGATAATACATAGAAGAAAACCAACAGTGATTAGTCAGTTTTTCACTTATATATTTTTGGTTTACCCGTGATTTTATGTCGAAAAGAAAAATCGGATTTACAAATATGCTAGAACTGGTAAGAATCAAACCCGCATCTAGCTAAACACTGTGTATAATTTACGCGAGTAGTACACATATAAATGAAACACCGTGGTCACGTGGAGACTAAAGATGGAGGGTGTCTCTGACATCGAAGTAAAAAAATGCTACGCTTAGCGCCTTCTGTTCCGTCGAGCTTGGTAGTTGCAAGGACTCGGCCGGTAAGGCCAAATAATTGAAATAAGTTTAACAAATATATATCGCGTTCTAAACCGTTAAAGTGTTATTTAAGGGCTAGATCTGGTGAGATTCGAACCCACAACTAGGTTAGCCAATTTTAATTTAAAAATCGAAAATAAATTGGAAAAAATTTTCGACTCGGGCGGGACTTGAACCGGTGCATGTATCAATAAGTTAAAAAAATTCGTCGATGAGGTGTAGGACTCGGTAGCTCAATTGGTAGAGCAACAGCACGGAACGCTGATGAACCGATCGGGCAGGACTTGAACCGGTCAAGTCCTGCCCGAGTCGAAAATTTTTTAAATTTTTTTTGATTTTAAATTATATAATGCCTTCATGTGCAATAACATGTAAAAAATAATAAAGTTTTCATAGGTGAGCCAATTCAAGAATTTCGTCCAGAGGCGGGAAACATATTGTAG